TTAGCGCATATATATATATATATATATATATATATATATATATGGATGCACTCAGGTGCGAATACGTGCCGAGGAGGGAATATGCGGACAAATTCGCGCGCGACACCTATCCAGATCTAATAGATTAAAAAAACGCGGTGGCATTTTCGTAAATAATTGAACATCGAAGTGCAAGTAAAAACACTTACGAGTGCACCTACTTTCACCTATAAGTGCATGTAATTTTGTCTTGTTAACATTCATACACCTGAGTGCACCTACTTATAACTATAGGTGCAACTATTTATAACTATAGATGCAACGACTTATAACTATCGGTGAACCTACTTTCACCTATAAGTGCATGTAGTTTTGCCTTGTTAACATTCACTTGCCGCAAACATTAATGCACCTAGGTGCACCTACTTATAACTATAGGTGCACCTACTTATAACTATAAGTGTAACTACTTATAACTATAGGTGCACTTAGTATTGATACTCAGTGTAAATTTTACTTGCACCTATAGTACATTTTACATGCACTTGTAATACATTTTACTTGCACTTCGATGTTCAAATTAACTGAATACACATAATGGGGTTTGGTTAACATAATACACATAAACTCTTAACTGAATACACATAAACTCATAACACAATACACATAAAATTTTAACTAAATACACATAATGAGGTTTGGTCTGTTCAGATGGACGGAGTGAGGTCATCATGACGTCAGCATAAAACGCGCGCGTTTCGTGCCTGGGCGCACATTGCTATGTGCGGCGTGGTGCACGATATAATTTGCCACATAACTGGGCCTTTAATTAGTTTGTCTGAAACTTATTTGGGCTTTCTTGATACAGCTCAGCCCAATTTGTAGACCATAGCCCACAGGTTGCAACTTAAGAAACTTTGTGTGTGTATTTTTAGGGAATAAGACAACGGAGGAAGAGGGGAATTTGGGCAAATTATGTTCTGGAATCGTGTGCACACGAAATTAGATTCATAATTTCTAAATTATAAATTCATCATTTCTATACTATAGATTCATAATTATTGAACTCTATATTCACAATTACAAAATTCTATGTTTATATTCCCAATTGTTAAACTCTGTATTCAGAAATCACTGAACTATATGTTCATAATTTGATAACTATACAGTTTAGAAATTATGAATATGTAGTATAGAAATTATGAATCTATAGTATAGAAATCATGAATCTACAGTTTAGAAATTATGAATCAACAACACTGTTGCAAAAATTTGTATAGGCGCTAGGCGCCCTTAGACCGTGGCGATTTTCCCCCTAGGCGCCCACCTAGGAGACCGGCCGCTTAGGCGTCCGTCTAGCCCCTAACTCGGCCGACTTGGCCGCCTAGCGTCTAAGTTAGCCGAGTTAACTCGTCCATTTCGATCAAGTTAACCCAATCAGCTCGGCTTGGCTAATTTTTTATCATTATATATATATATATATATATATATATATATATATATATATATATATATATATATATATATATATATATATATATATATAACACACACACACATACACACACACACACACACACACACACCCGTAGACTAGTTTGATACTTTGAATCTTTGGATGATTGAAATATTTGAGTATTTCATATTTGAATATTTTTAATTTTTAATATTGTTTTGATGTTATGACTTATGAATCATTATTTCATTTATTTGGATGTGTTATTTGATTGAATGTTGAAAACAGTCTCATTAAAATTGTCAAACTGCAAGTCTGCCACTGTTTTTTTTTGCATCCGCCTAGCGCCGCCTAGGACGCTTAGGCGCTAGGCGCTGCCCGGGCGCCCGACTAGCGCTTAGCGCCTAGCGCCTACTGCAACATTGATATATAGTATAGAAATTATGAATCTATAGTATAGAAATTATGAATTTATAGTATAGAAATTATGGATCTATAGTATAGCAATTATGGATCCAATTCCGTGTGCACCTTGCATGGTGCACACGGTTGCACACTTGCACAACATAACGCTCCGGGAATTTGTAGGGCAAATTATGCTGTGCAACCGTGTGCACCATGCATGGTGCACATTATTCTATGTTCATAATTACTGAACTATATGTTCATAATTATTGAACTCTATATTCACAAATACAGAACTCTATATTCATAATTATAGTGCTATATGTTCATAATTTTTGATGTTCATATTTCTAATTGTTGAACTCTGTATTCATAAATCAAATAACTATATGTTCATAATTTGATAATTATATAGTTCAGAAATTATGAATCTACAGTATAGAAATTATGAATCTACAGTACAGATATTATGAATCTGCAATATAGAAATTATGAATCTACTGTATTTAAGTTATGAATCTACAGTTTAGAAATTATGAATCTACATTATAGATTTTATTAATCTACATTATAGAAATTATGAATTGGAACCGTGCACACCATGCATGGTGCACACGGTTGCAAAACATTACTACACTAGCCACTAGGAATACCAATCATCTTATGTGTAATAGTCTGTAAATTACGTATACTACACATGACTTGAGGTCGAGAATCATGTTCCATCACTTCGACCACATCTTAATTTAGGTGTCGGACTAATCCTAAGCCCACAAGACTCCACCTCTAGAGTCACTGTAGTCGCGAGTCGCGCAACTGGTCAAATCCTATCCAGACCTTTTAGCATCTTTATGCCTTTTTCTCATACAAACCAACTGCGCTATGTTTCGGGACTTATTATTATTATTATTATTATTATTATTATTATTATTATTATTATTGAAAGAGGCTTAGGTTAATCACAAAAGTAAGTCATGTACAACCAAACCACCACTACAAATAAACAAAAACTATTACGTATGTAGTTTATTATATATAGCAATAATTTAGGCAAATTTTCCTCTAACTCTTATTTAACTTTTTTCTTTTTTTTTCTTATCAAGCCTTCTTCTCTTAACATTGATTATATATCTTTACTGTATTGGTTGTTACATTGTACCTGGTATTCCATTGTTTGCAGCTATGATCCTCCTCCTGGTAACATCGTTGGCGATTGAAAAACCTTACTAACGAACTGATTGAACTGTACGCAACACACACGATTAGTATTGTTTTGTTTGACATATTCTTAAAAAGACAAATAGATATGCAGACTAGACGGCTTTGAGATGTTCGAACTAGGCTTCATATATGTTCCCAAGGGGTTAAGTCTTTTGTTGTTTGAGGATTAAGATAATTGGTGTAGCTATGTCACGTTTTATGTAGATGCATGTTTTTTTTTTTTTTTAAATGACAAAAACACATTAATGATCCTTTTTTTTTATAATGACAAAAACACATTAATTTCTTGGGCCGAGCTAGCTCAATTGTTATATTGTGCATCAGGGCTCACAATGCCCTCCCAAAACGACGTCGTTTTGTTAAGTTGGGTGAGGAGTTGACACGACAGAGTTTATGTATTCTGTTATACAATTATATATGTACATTGTAGTATACAATTATGTACATTTTATTATACAATTATGTACAGTCGAAATAGGGAATTTTTTAAGAATTAGGAGTTTATGCGTATTATGTTAAGAGTTTATGTGTATTATGTATTATGTTAGATTATATGCATTATCCTTTCAAAAAAGTGTATTTATATTCTGTTATATAATTATGTACATTCTATTATACAATTATGTACAAATTAGTATGTAGACTATATGACATTTTGTTTTGAGATGTTCACATATCAATTTGCTATTTGAGGATTTTGCCGGTATAGCTATTCCATGTTTTCTCTTCTCAATATATTACAAAATTTGTAACGCTTTTATATTAAAAAATTGTCAAAAGCACATTAATGAATTAAATTAATTTCTTGGACCGGGCTAGTATTAGTAGACTTTTGAATTAGGCTCTGTTATTAACCGAGATGGCGAGATTGGTCAAAAAATACATTAATAAGCTCATTAATACTAAACAGGCAAATTATGCTAAGGTGAACACGGTTCCCAAACTGTTCATAATTATGAAAATATATAGTTCAAAAACTATGAACATAGAGTTGTGAACATAATTATGAGCATATATTTCTGTAATTATGAAATAGAGATTTAATAATTGTGAATATAAACTTTAAAAATTATGAATATATAGCTTTATAATTATGAACATATATTTTAGTAATTATAAATATAGAAACTCAATAATTATGAATATGAATTTAAAAAATTATGAATATATAATTTTATAATTATGAACATATAGTTCATTAATTATGAACATAAAGTTATGTAATTGTGAATATGGAATTCAATAATTATGAATATGAGGTTCAAAAATTATGAATATATAACTTTATAATTATGAACATATAATTCAGTAATTATGAACATAGAACCGTATCCACCTTGCAAGGTGGACACAGTTCCACAGCATAATATCATAAACTAATACTTAACACCTCATTTCGGGATAACTCGAGTTCGATTCCCACAAGTGATGATTTCCTCTGGGCCAGCTTCTGTACCTCTCGGAGCGAACTGGGTGGACCTGTATCGTTAAACAGACAGAGAAAGACCGCGACCACATTGTGATTTACATAAAAAAATACTTAACACCTCGAAATCAACCTGATCCATATTAAAAGTGCTTTTTATATAACCCATATATGTATCATTAGTCCATCCATCATATTTTTGCTATTAATTGTGGAATTGATATTTATTTATGTGAATTGTTACTTGTTAGCTATCCTATCTTTTAAGGTTCATTCATGAACCAAATCTCATAACAAATGTCTGGTTGTCTACTTTGCATGTTGCAACTTGAAGCTTACAATGAATGGACATTCATTCTTTTGTCTAGTTTTGGAATGATTGAAACATTAATCACACAATATAATGTATTTCCAATCAAAATGAATTACGTAGTATTATTAATTTATTATTATTGAATTGAATAAATCGAAAGTGGAAAGTAGAAACAAGAACATACGACAAAACAACCTCATCAGAAACGTATCATTTATGGAAAATTAACCGATTCCGTCCAAGGCTCATACGCTTCTTTCCCCTCTGTCACTCTGCTATACTGAGTTTAGTACTCCGTACAAACCTTTGCCTTCATCTTTCTCGTAGATCCGAACTAGAAACAAAATTGCAGAGTAGAAAGTAGCTGTCAAATGTGAAATGCCCTCTCTCTCTCTCTCTCTCTCTGTCTTTATATCTGTCTAAAAAGCTAAAGGGCACTCGTTGACAAGAAACAAGTTGATAGAAAGTTTATCCAATTTCTGTGATTTGGAGCTGAGATTTTCTATTGTGTGGTCACTGTGCTGATTTCTTCAGACCTCAGTCTCTTACCCACATCTCCAGGTATTTTGTGTTGTTCAAGAATTGCCCAAAGTTGTAATCTTTAAGCTTGTTGCAGTTCTTTTATGTATCTTTTGGTTTTTAGTGATGTGAATTAGTGGCCAAAGTTTCAATTTTTTGTTTATGCTGAGGAATTTGAGTGCAGTAATGGGTAATTCTTTACCATAAATTGGATGTTTTTGGAAATGGGTTTGGAGTTTTGATGTTTAATTTGATGAATGTTTGTTAGGCTTGAAGGGGGTTTTCTACTTTTCTTGTCTATTGAGTGTTTTGAGTGTGGAATTAGTGAATGATGCAAAGATCAATACTCCAAGATTTTTGTTCTTTTCCAGTTTCATTGTCAGTGTTTGAAGATTAAGAATTCTCTCTGCAGAAACTTTGCGGTAATGGGAAAGATCTAATTGTGATGATAAAGTTTTGTACTTTCTATTGCATTTTATTGCTTATTCTGCTCCCTTTAATAGATATTTAGTGGCAGTTCTTGGACAATCTTTTTCCTTGAAAATGCATTTATACATATTTTTGTGCTATTTGGTTGAGATGATTAGATAGCAAGATTCGACATCGAACCTTAAGAATGTAAGAAGAAATGGCTATTTGGTTCAATGCTTTCTTTCTCTGGTTATTGTATGTTGGGCGTCGGGGCCGGGCTGGCTGAGTTCAAGCCCCTGTTCGATTCGAGACGTGGCGTTGTGGCTTACCATGGAGGGATGTTGTTAAATGGTTAATGTCCACCTACTTATCATCAATTGGTTTTAAGTAGGATATGACAGCCAGATAGCCAAAGAACTCTGTGGTTAAGCGTGTTTGACTTACAGCAGTCACGTGATATGTTATCTATAAATTGGACCTTGAGAATGTAATCAGTTGCGGTTATTTGGTTCACAGCTTTCGTTGTCTGGTTATTTGTACTTGATAGTTAAGGGTAGCGGTAGAATTTGCATAATTTAGTGTTTCTTGCTCGTTTATGAAACAGGGAGGGGATATTGAGATATAGTTCTTGTTGTCTCTCATCATGTTCAAGCAGTCGCCTAGTGGGAGGATGAACAGATCGAGAGGATTTAAGGTGAAGAACGTTCTGCAAATCTGTGTGTTGCTTGCCGTTTGCCTTTGGCTGGTTTACCAAGTGAAACAGTCCCACGAGAAGAAGAAACAGTTTGATGGGAACGAGTCGAGTTTGTCTCAGAAAACGGGAAGCAGCAGCGATGGAGGTCCAAATTTAGGACGAAAATACCTCCCCGATTCGAAGGGAATGGCTAATAGTGGCACGGAAGATAACAACCTGGAAGAAGATGGTAGAGGAGGTGGAGATGACGATTTAGAAGAACACGATCGGGAGAAAAATGATGGCGAGGTTGAACGAGAAGACAAAGCGGTGGGTGATGATGAGAAGGAGAGTGAGGAGCGAGATTCTGATGATAATAACGGGGACGAGATTTCCGAGGACAATGAAAACGATGAGGATTCGGGGAGTAAGCACGAGGCACAAGAGGTACTATATAAAGCAGACGATGCTTCAAGTGCAGTAACTCATGATAGCATCGAGGAAGTAAGCGAGAACGCTGAGGTAAATGTTCTGGAACAGGCAGGAGTAGTCAATAACGACAACAAAATTAGCGATGGTCAAGACACAATAGGCCACGAAGAATCTGAGCATGTCTCGGAAGGGTTAAATGGTCATCCCGTGGAAAGAAATTTGACCGAGAAAACCGGGGAGGCAAATGATTTATCCATCCAGAAAAGAGATGATTCTGCTTTGGTTGTCAATAATAGTCTCTCTGAGTCTAATTTAACAACCTTAAAAAACGGGGATGCAGAATCAACCGAATCAGATTCCTCAGCTGAATCTAATCACTCGAAATCTTCTGTCTCGGAGAAGGTCATACATGGTCATCCTCGGTTCACAACCGAGGATGACCGATGGTCCACGACAATCGATACTGATGCTGAGAAATCTCGAACAGTTGATGAAACAGGCAGAGCAGACGAAGAGTTCGAGTCCTTCAATACTGAGAATATAGGTGAAATCGAAGATCTGATTGACTCCTCCGATTCGTCGTTTTCCCTGGACGAGAAAGATGTACGCACTGATCTCGAAACCCTTCCGGAAATACAAACCGAAGGAAGTAACACAGAAGATCCTGCAGCCAAATGAAACTGTATAATATACCATTTCTACTGCAGCTCAAATTATTATTATAATTCCTTCTTCTTTTTCTTCATTTTTTGTTTAATTCACTATTTAGTTTATGAATCTGCAAAAAGTTCTATGAATGCTTTTGAATATGAGAAGTATGGATAGAGAAACAGCTTGTACAACTTTGTGGGCAAAATGTTGGCAAAGTTGGGTTCTGTATAATCAACTCTTGTATATCAAATTGTGGTTTTGTTGTTCTTAATCTGTTTATGCTTTTCTGAACTTACTGGTATTGAACTATGAACTGTATATAATGCTTCAACACTAACACAAAATCTTGAATTCCAGTGCACTTACTCTTTCATTCATGCATTAATCAAAACTCGATGAACAATGAAGTTTAAGTAATTACAGAAAACAGGTTGCAGATGAATGAATATAAACTACTAAAAGGAAATTAAACAGTTAGCTAACAATTGATGTTAGTTTGGCAATGCAGCATCCAAGGGATGGATTGTCACTATTCTTGATCTATCTGCCTTGATTTTTCTCAGCTTTAATTTTGTGAAAATGGCCTACAAGCATCCATACTTAGATAGTTTGATCCACTCTAGCAGCCAATGTCATGAAAAATGGAAGCTTGAATGCAGTGGCAACCAATAGTTATTGCAAGGACCACCACGATCCAAAAACGACATTGTTTTGCGTAATTTTTTTTTTTTTTTTTTTTTCACACTGACCCACTGCAGCATACATTTTTATAACTCATAATGTACATTATTCTAAAGCATAATAATCCTGTTTGGTAAATGGCGGTTAGCTATTAGCTTATTGAGTTAATTAGAGGGTAGAACTAGTTGATTGTAGAAAGGTGTTTAGTAAATTAGCTATTAGCTGTTTCACATAATTTCTTTTCTCAAAAAGCTAATTGAAAAAGTTGCTTTGAGCAGCTTTTTGAATTTTAACATTTTAGAGTTACAAAAAGCTAATTAACTAAACACTAATATTTATTTTTTAACCAAGTGAAATAGCTAATAGTGGTCAAATAAGCCAAAATTGGCCTAGGCTAACTATTTTACTAAACAGGGTCAATAATGTACATTATGTGTTAAAATAATGTACATTATTCTAACTTATAAAGTACATTATCTTACCCAGAAATTTCATTATTCAAACATATAATGTACATTATTTTAACACATAATGTACATTATTCTAACTCATAAATTTACTAGTGGCAACAAAGAAGACCACGGGCTACTAGGGCTGGATAGGCCAAAGACCGCGAGACGTTGATAGGGCTGGATATATCATATATGGATAGGTGAAAGGCCACGGGCTGGTAGAGTTGGAGATATGGACGAGTAAATGAGTAAGCTTATATGAAGCCAATTATATATGGGGCATCAAACAATAAAGAGTTGTGCCATTTCTCTCAATGTCAAGAAAAACTAATTTTTGGGGCAACCCTAGCCCATTTGGTCTAGAAGCTAGTTTGCTAACCACATGGGGATATTTATGTTGTGGAAACGCATTCACCATGTGCATGGTGAACATAGGGGTAGATTCATAATTTTTATGTAGTAGATTTATAATTTTTTTTTTGAAAATGTAGATTCATAATTTCTAAATTGTAGATTCATAATTTCTATACTGTAGATTAATAACATCTATACTGTAGATTCATAATTTCTATACTTTTAGATTCATAATTTCTGTATTGTAGATTCATAATTTCTATACTGTAGATTAATAATTTCTGTACCGTAGATTCATAATATCTGTAACAACAAATGAAAAACAAAATTATGAATCTACAGTATAGAAATTACGGATCTACCCCTGTGTTCACCATGCACATGGTGAACATGTTTCCACAGCATAATTTACCACCACATGGTTTCAAGTTCGACTCCCTGTGGAAGCTGTCTATTGACATTCTTTGTTTGAGTCAAGTAATTACGGGTAACCAATACTAATCTACTTCCTTGTGGTCCTTTGCCCGGCTAGGGTCACAAGCATGGTTGCAGTAAGCGCTAGCGCTAGTCGGGCAGTAGAGTAGCACGTAGCGCCTAGGCGACTAACTAAAGAAAAAAATTGGTCGTGTACGAGCTGAGTGTATGTCATATTACACACACACACACACACACACACACACACACACACATATATATATATACTCCATCTATCCCATTTTATCTTGTCTTACTTACTATTCATTGGTCAAACCAACTCTTTCTTCTTAGTTTATTTTCTTTAGTATTCTTTAATTATTTTTAAATTTAATTTTTTGTGTTTAATAGTATTTTTAGTGTAGTTTCTAAATATATAAATTTTATAAACTAATATTAAATTTAATATTATGAAAAATTGGATTAAAAATAACTTCAGTCAAGGCTCGTTAACCGAACCAGACACATAAAATGGGACGGATGGAGTATATATATAGCAAAAAGATTAGCAAGGCCGAGTTGGGCGAGTTAAGTGTCTAGGCAGTTGACCTTTTATGGAGGAAAAATCGGCACGACCTAGGGGCGTCCTAGCGCCTAGGTGGCCGTCTAGGCCGATTTTTGCAACAGTAGTCAGTAGTCACAAGACGGTTTCACCAAAAACATACTTTCCGGGTGAAAGTGTACTTTCAGGTGTGGTCCGCAAATCAAAGAAAAAACAATGTTTTGTGAACATATATAAAAACCAAAAATAGAAATTGAGATTAACATGTTTCAAATGCTGAAAATGTGCTATATAAATTAATCTCCACATGTTTCAAATGCTGAAAGTTAGTAGTGGTAGTAGCTTTTCCATTTTTGGTAAATCAAGATATAGGATTCATACCATTAAAAGATGAATGGGAGTTGTCTTGGCAGAAAAGTAATGAAAAATTCATATATATCCACTTATTTACTACTCCGTATATTTGTTTTTGAAATATTAACAACATTCTAATTTTGGGATTAGAAATCTGAACTGAACTCTGAACTCAAAGCCAATTAATGCCTTAGCATCATGCCATCATTATCTCAAGAAAATAAATTTTATCTACACTACTAAAAACACCATAATTTCCACCCTTTTTAGTTAAAAATTGAAGTCACTTATTACCATCTACTTACATAGATAAGGTAAAATACTAAAATATACGTTGGAAAATCCAACCAGATTTATTGTTCATCACAAAGATTGAATTCTCAATCCCAATGGTCCCTCACGCCCCGTCCGACAGAACATCTAGGAGGATGTAAATAATGGTAACTCAGTTGAACACAGATGCTAGACCTTCGTTTAGTACTGCGCACAAAGAGTCCGACAGAGCATGTAGAGGATGTAAATCATGGTAACTCAGTTGAAAACAGATGCTAGACCTTCGTTTACTGCGCATAAAGAGCCCCCTCACTCTGTGAGAGGTTGCTCCCATACTGCTGGTGAGACTCGATCCCGAGTCATTGTTTTTAAACTTTACCCATATGACTAATTGAGCTGCCCTTGTGGATAATCCAACCTTATTTATGGTTAACTAACCTTCTATCTTAATAATATAATAATAATAATAATAATAATATTATTATTATTATTATTATTATTATTATTATTATTATTATTATTATTATTATCCACTAAGGCTTCTAATAGTCCACCGACAAAAGAAAAAAAAAATAGTGGTCATATAAATAACATAATTGTTTGAGTATTTTTTGACAATCATGGTAAGAAATAAATATGTTTATGCGATCCAAAATTTTCACTAAAAGGTGAATAGAGATTTGTGTACACTTATTTTAGTAGGGGGCAAAATTTGAGTCCGTTTATGACAATTGATTAAAATTTCGTTTTAACTTTTTTGTGAAAGAAACACACCAGTATGAATTGATAAATCAATTAAAAGAAGAAAAAAATATGCCCTCATATTTAAAAAGTTGTATTATATTGTTCATCATACCACATGTTGCAGAAGAACAAATTTATTACAAGCTCATAAAACTTACTAATATTTGAAGAATAAATATATATAATAATCAAATATAATGAATTATTAATGTAAGCCAATATGGGATGATATGATGATCAAAAGAAGCCACGACCGCCATAGCCAAAGCTGGCAAAACCATGAAGATGGTGAGGGGTGACAGAGAGGCCAAGCCCAGAAGCCTTGGCATCATCAAACAACCCAAAACCCTTGGAGCTCGACGAAGACGACGATGGTGCTCCGAAGTAGAGATTAGGGTTTGAAGCCTCCACCACTAACTTCTCCATCTGCTTCCCCACGCCGCTCTTCAGCTCCTCCATGGCCACCTTCAGCTGCTCCAGCTCCTCCAGGCGGAGCTCCGCCACGGGGCTCTCCCACCACCACTTCCCCTGGTTTTCCTTCCTCATCTTCGTCAGCTCCTCCCCGCGCTTCTTCTCCACCTCGAACTGGTTCAGGATCTCCATCAGCTGCACGTTCAGCTCCCGGACGCTGGCGTTCCGGTGCGCCTCGATCAGCTGGGAGGTGTTCGTGGCGGCGGCGGTCGGTGCCGCCGCTGCCGCCGGGCTCCGAGCTAGGAAACGGTCCACGATGGCGTCCACGCAGGGGTGCCCGAACGAGAACACCTTCTTCCCGGGGGAGAAGACGATGATGGCAATCTCCACGCCGCATAGAGTCTGGTTGAATAACAACTTTAGTATTTAGTCCAACCAAAGTACTTAATAATACACTACTGCAAATTATTGAATTTCTGACCATCTGAAAGTGATCTTAAATCAGTTGAAAGCAAAAAGTGGTCAGAAATAGTAACAATGGTTTTTCCGGATACTAAAAGTGGTCGGAAATAGCAACAAGGATTTTTCCGGATACCAAAAGTAGTCGGAACAAGGCTTTCAACTTGATTAAAGATCACTTTCAGATGGTCGTCGGAAATTTCAGAATTTCCAGTACCGTAAGTCTAGTCAGAAATGCCCTAATATATAATATATATTATTACGAAAAATCTTACACTCAGCTCGCTGGCTTTCTTGAACAAACCTGACCTCCGCTTTGAAAACGTCACCAGAAGATTGCTTTCCTTGGACATCCTAGTCATCTCGATCTTTTGTCGCCCCTTACACTTCCTCGCCATGTTTGATCCGTTAAGGATTCAGACAATTGGGAGAATTTTGCCTTTTGTGTGGGCAAAGGATTCAGATGAATTCTTGAAGATGGAGGAGCGTTTTTATAACGTTTTGTAAGCCTCGAAATGGATTATATTCCTATGAATTGTGTACGGTATTTCCTTATAGGTGTAATTGGCACGAGTTTTTTTCTTGTTATTTAATCATGAAATAATGTTATATTATAATTTCTATTTCTAGTAGCACATATAAAACACTGTTATTATCTTAACATATTAGACATGTTATTTGTTTAGGAACTTATAATTCCTCTTGTGATGGGAAGTTTGATTGATATATATGCCTTACATAAAGAATCTAAATACATATCATGATAAAATTGGATAATTTTAGGTGTAGGTATATAATAGATTTGTACGTGCACATGTTTGTCATTGATAATTTAATTTAGTAAATTGGTTTCCGGTCCGATCCGTATAATGGTTAAGAGGAGTCTCGAGAGTGATCGAGTTAATCCAAGCATAACTTGACTAGCTTAAGACTAAGAAAATCATGGTTATCAAACTAATTAACCTACTATCCGACTAACTTAGATGAGGTTGATCTCAATATCACTTCCATACTTTAATAAATTAGTTCGTTCACTTCGTTGGATGAGAAACTTTGCAAGGGAACTGCGACGATATTTTCCGTCGCTAAATTTAACAACGGATTTTTTCGTCGATAATTAAGAAAAATCACTATAGTCGAGGACAATTTTGAGTATTAATTTTAATTTCAAATGCTTCCATTGATTTTTCATCTTCACTATGCATATGTGACAATGTGTAGCTAATTCTTAGAGAATTATGATTATGTTTACTTGTTAGGATACTAGAATGTTTTGATTGCAGTTAGATAGTGATACGACTTGATGCATTGGCTTGAATTTTTGTTGGAAGTGAACTTTGTGTATACTCTTGTATAATGAAGGTCACATTTTACAAGAGATCTAGGAGGCGTGTAGTTTCCAAGAGATTGTGACTACACTATAGTCTATTCCACTTGCAATTCCCACCTTATGTCGAGAGACGGAATTCAGAAGAAGATGTAGATTTAAGGTGCTCGATGAAATGTCTCAACTAGTAGGGTTCTACTACTTGACCAAGCACATTGTGCTCAGATGGCATGTAGTGACCTCTCCCATGTGGGAGGTCATGAGATCGAGCCTCAGTGGAGGCGTTGTTGACTCTGATCTGTGTGCTTCATTAGGTTGAGAAAGTATGTTTGAACAGATACTACAATGTAATAGAGTCAGTAACATTCAAAAAAAAAAAGGGGGATTCTACTACTTGATAGGCCAGATAGACCGCAAGAGTGGCTTTGGCAATGGAAAACATCTTTCAAGAATCGTGATTACTTCCTATACCTAGGGTTATTCTATTGTATCCCATCAAGGAACACCTAGTCCAATTAAGTTCTCCATTCACTTGATTCCAATTAGCTTGTTTACTTGCTTTCTTTACATTTGCTTGTTGCTTTACTTTTACTTGTATTACTTTGATTATGCTTCCTTGGTTAGCTTTGAGACTTAACTATCTAGTGCTCCTACGCCCTTGTGCTTAGCCACGCATTGCTCAATTCTCATTCGTCATCTTTAGAGAACCACATCTCAGAAGAGTTCACTTTCTCAACCTTCTTTCCATTCCCTGCTTACTACGACTATCACCAAACAAGTTTTATACTGATGGATTTCAAATTTTAGACTTATAGTTAACATTAGCAAATCGACACTACTGAGATTATATATAACTCATGAACTTATACAATGGCTATTATGACAACAATTGAAAATTTGAAGCTTTCTTTGAACATTATTATAAAATTGTATTTTGAAAAGCCCACGTTAAAAAAAAAAAATTGTTATCCAAATATTAAATTTTAGTTTGGCTATTATGAGCCAAGCACTTTGTGTTCAGATGGCATGTAATGACCTCTCCCATGTGGGAGGTCATGAGATCGAGCCTCAGTAGAGGCGTAGGTTGAGAAAGTATGTTTGAACAGATACTACAATGTAATAGAGTCAGTAGCATTCAAAAAAAAAAAAAAAAAAGTTTGGCTATTATGGCAACAATTGAAAATTCCAAGCTTTCCTTAAACATTATTATAAATTGTGTTTTTAAAAGTCGAAGTTTTATTTGTTTAAAAAAAATGTTATCCATTAAATATTGAATTTTAGTTATTTAGTGAGGGAAAAAAAAAAAAAAACAAAAACAAAAATATAGATCATCAGATTTTAGACAAAAATAAATGCCAAGATTGCGGTGAGCGTGGATCGAACACGCGACCTTCAGATCTTCAGTCTGACGCTCTCCCAACTGAGCTATCCCCGCTTGCGTGCCTAAAAGAGTAAACCTTTATATTTTATACAAACTATATAGAAGGATACCAAAAAAAAAAACATTTTTGTCCCATCCTAAAACCCTAGTTGCTGTTGTATCATGTTAGCTGTGTATGCTTTAGGCTGATAATTTTTTCCTTAATAATCACTTATGCGACTTGCATGTGGGGAGCCGGTTTTGTCCAGACAATTTGGTGGCTTTGAAGATGATGTAATGGTGTTATTTTTTTCTTAGAAGAATGAAGACATTATTTACAGAATTAGATGGATTAATCAAAGTTAATATTTTAAGATTTCTTGAGCATTTGCCAATTGTTATATAGTGGACCATGGTCCATACCCTTGAGATTGGAATTCAACCTTTTGGAAGAAGAAGAAGAAAATGATAGAACCTATAGATGTGGACTTCTTTATAAATGCATCATTCCTGGAGAACTATGGCTCAACTCATTGATGGCCCCTCAGGTCGCTATGACAAATTCTTCATGAAGATAAATCGGGTGTTTTCTTACCTATTAATTTAAAAGAAAAGCGGTTTACATGTGAACCCGACTTTCAATAATGCTCCCATATCATGCTCAAATTGACATAGACTTATTGAAAGGGAGTCCACATGTAAGTCGATTTTCTTTAACATTCAAGAAACTTACGAGCTGGAATGGATTATATCTTAACATTCTTTATTTTCAATTTTTTTTTTCTAATGTTTCTCTCTAATGCATCCAAAAAATTACCATTATTATTATTTGATGTTATTATTTTTGTATTTGACTTCTTTCTTATTCAATATGTTATTGTAAAAAAAAAATAAAAAATTTGTATGTATCGTTACTTAATCAAAAATTAATATCAAACGTATCGATAATAATATATGAACATACATTTGAACATTAAAAAAAAAATCTAATTCAATTTGTATATAATAGATTGAAAATTTTTAAAATACCAGCCTTACATTGTAATGTATAATGGAGTACAATAAAAAAAAAAAAAAAAAAAAAAAAAAAAGAAAGAGTAAATAATAGTATCAAATAAAGACATTATTTTTTTAAAAAAAAATATTACCATATTTAGATGTTTAGAAAAATTGGCGGCTAATTCCAAGATTAGCGCCCTCACTGGTGCTTGCATCCCCCCTTGCAGTGAATACATTGTAGCTACTTGATGAAGCTCCGGCGGCGCCGCCACTAGTAAAGGGATGAGCTCCGGCGGCGACACCACCATTCAAAGGAAGCGCTCCGGCGGCGACACCACCAAGTGCAGAAGTTGAGCCCCCCCTAATAATTGCACCATATGGGTTAAAAGGGAACCCATTATTTCCATGCATCGCCACCATAACCTGCTGAGCTTTCCGGTGAGTTTCCACCATCAGATTCTCCATGCCATTCTTCAGAGCTTGAAGCTGCTGCAAGTTGAGTTCATCGGGAGAAGCTCGAATCCATCCCTGAGCTTCACGGTTCGCCGCCACAGCTTCATCAATGGCCTCGCCCCTCTTCTTCTCCGACTCCATCATCGCCTCCAGGCGCGCCAGCTCCATACTGAGCTCCCGGAGTCTCGCACTCCGGTGAGCCTCAATCAGCTGCTCCGTCGGCGACGCCACCCCGCCGGCCTCGTTACCCACCGGATTGCTGTTGTCGCCGCCGAGAAACTTCTCCACCACCGCCTCCACGCTCGGGTGGCCGAAGGAAAAAACCTTCTTTCCCGGCGAGAAAACGACAATGGCGACCTCGACGCCGCAAAGGGTGGAAAGCTCGCTGGCTTTCTTGAAAAGTCCGGCGCGGCGCTTCGAGAACGTGACTTGAAGGTTGTTCTCGTTTGTCATCTTCACCATCTCAACCCTTTGCCTGCCCTTACTTGTTCTCGCCGCCGCCGCCATCGCTAACTTTCTCAATTCAAGGATATGATCGACAACAACGTTAAATTTGCTGCTTTGCTTTATGTTCTCATGCTTATAACAAATATATTTATAGGATTATTAAGCTGGTTTTGTGAATTGCTCTTTAATTTATTTCTTAATATGTAAAATTGCCTGGAACAATCAACCTGTACTCCATTTTGGTTTTGGTTAAAAGTTCATCCTTAAATTATATATAATTATTTACTTAATCTGTTTTGTATAGGCCAGGCCAGCTTTTACGTGGACTACAAATACACTGTATTAGGAAATAAAAATGAATTCAGGTATAAAGTTTCAAATAGTTACGGCTGTTTGGACCATGGTCGAAAAACGACGTGATTTTGCATTTATCTTTTTACGTGACTCGTTGCACTAATATACATTTTTTAACTCATCATATAAATTATTCTAAAACATAATTTACATTATATTACCCCAGAAATTTTAGTATTCTAACACGTAATGTACATTATTCTAACACATAATATACATTATTTTTACTCATAATATTCAACGATATTGTTTTGTATCGTGGTCCACACAATAATTTGCCATAAAATTTAATCCCTTTGGTCTCTGACCCCGTTAATATGTGATTAATGAATATAAAACCATAATGTTTGGTATGAATTTGAACACTTTTTGTAAAGGTACCGTAGTCGATAATTTATCTATGACTTGTCATTTGGTCATTCCTAAGAAAGTAATGATGTTACCATTTTGTACAGTGTAGGCTAAATAGTAAATACCATACCAAACTCGAGCATTTTTTTTTTTTTTTTTTGGGGTGGGAAAGGGGAGTTAGAAATGATAATATTTACAATGTTATTTGTATTTGAAATGAAAAAGTAATATGGAGTATAATTTTTTTAAGGTACAACATACATATAAGAACATAATATCTCCATATCATTAAGAGTATAACGATGTAAATGTATCGTATTTAAAAATAAATATCACAATGTATTTTTCTAATAAAAATATCACTACCATAATCTCTTAAATGTATTACATTAAAGTATATGTATTAAGGAGTAGGAGATACATACAATAATAATTGCAAGAAAAAATATAAACAAATGTTGAATTTTGATCCTTCAACTTGACTATATTTCAAAGTTGATAGTAGGAAATGGGGAGTGTATGGGTGCAAAGTCATTCTCTTCTAATAGATTTTATATAGTGTATGGGGACTTTTGACCAGTGGGAAGAACAGCCCCAACCACGCCGAGCCCATCACCAACGCTCATTTCTTTGTCAGTAGTCGCAGGTCGCCGGGAAACTGCCGGCGTCGCAACAAAGTCCGGAAATTCCGAACTTCTCCGATCAACAATCTGAGCAGTGGGTGACAATCGCGACACATCCCCAACACCAACTACACCATCCGATCGTGCATGCGATGTCCTAGTCGCCGGCAAAGCCCCTGACGACGAAGACAGGGTCGCGACGCGAGACTTCGCAGACGCCAAAGTGATGGTAGCGATCACCATGCTGGGGATGGTCGCGGAAGGGGTTTGCCGGCCTGTAGACGCTTAATCGCCGAAGTCCAGGCCAGGCACAAGATCGCTTCTGGTGAAAAGACATAGATTTACAATATTGTAATTGATATTTGATGGGGAATATACCCTGGGTTAGTTCAGGCTCTCCCCATACGCTCTGTGCTCCTGTTTGGGTCGGGGTTAAACGGTTCAGGTCCCGGTCCACGAGTCAAAGTCAACCCCACCCAAGCTTGGGCCTATAAAAGGGGTCTTAGCCTTCCATTTTTGGGGCTCCTCCCTCTCTCTCCTCCACTACCCTCTCTCTCTACACACAATTCACTCTCAACTCTCTCTAGAAAGAAACAAGAACATCAATGAATAAAAGAGTATTTGAGTTATTTCTTCTTGTCTACATACATCATTGTTCATACATACATCCTTGTGAATAAACCGTATCAATATTATATTGAATAATATTATTTATAAATCTTATGTAATAATAATAATAATAATAATAATAATAATAATAATAATAATAATAATAATAATAATAATAATAATATTATTATTATTATTATTATTATTATTATTATTATTATTATTATTATTATTATATATTCTGTATAAGTAGGGGTGATCACGGTTCGGTTCGAACCGAACCGTGCACTGTTGAATCAGAACTGGAGCCGAATCGTCTGTATGGTTCCGGTTCCGGTTCCTAACCGGAACCAATATGGTTCCGGTTACGGTTTGAGATGAAAAGGAACCGGAACCGGAACCTTACTATAAGGTTCCGGTTCCGGTTTCGCCATCTACGGAACCGGAACCGGCAATTCCGAGCCAGAACCGAACTGGAACCGGAACCGTGGTCACCCCTATGTATAAGGGTAGTTATGTCTTTTACACATATATTCCATTTCTATTCCTTAAACCAACCAAACACTATAATAACATTCATAAAGTCTATTCCTTCACCGAACCAAACAATAAAATACAATTTCTAGTTTATTCTTTATCTATTCCATTCCCTATGGAATAGTATTCATATTCCCTCAAAATTCATTCCGCGAACCAAACGTATGAGAATGCACGATCACTCATGCCAATTAAGTTAGTTGATTTTTTATTTTTATTTTTTGAAAGCTACCGACTCTATTACAATGTAGTACATGTTCATTCATACTTTCTCAACCTACTGAAGTACAAAGAGTTAATGCCTCCACACTAGGTTTTGATCCTAAGACCTCTCATTTGAGAAGCCACAACTATGCTGCTTTTAAATCAAATGGAATCTATGAAGGACACGCATTTTAGGGTCTCCATCCCCATCTATGATTTTTTTGAGATTTTTTCATACCAAAATACTGGAGCAATTGTTTTTAATTTTTCCAGATGTGAAGTTGAGGTGTTTTTTTTTTTTTTTTTTTTTTTTTTTTTTTAAGGATTTTTTCACTTGCAAAAACAAGTCTTTTGCATGAGAAGGAACTAGGAAGGGAAACAAGTACACGCGTGTTTTAGGGCCACGGACCACCTCGCAGGTGTGTTGGGGATTCAGAGTGGCCGCCGGTTTTTTTTTTTTTTTTTTTTTAAATACTATTTTTTTTCCTTATTTCTTGTTGGTTAAATGGCGTTGGTATGCGACGACATAGCAACGTCCAACTTTTTTTAAAAATCAATTAATATCTTCCTAAAATTAAACACTCCCATTAGTTTTAAGGTAAAGGAAAATGTCAAACAAATCATCACAATTTCAACTAGACATCCCAACATAAAAATAACTCAATTAAGTCTATAGTTCATTTTGGACTCGAGCTTTGTCGGATCAATTATGGGATAAGCTCTCCCAATAACTCATACTTTGATTATCAACCCTTAATTAAGAAAAACCAAACCCCTTATACTTAAATCACATGTTATTAGTTTAAAACTAAAATTTAACTATTCAAAACGATGTCAATTTCAATTATGTTCACAGCTACATAGTGAAGCCTAAGTATATAGTATGAGTTAATACCCAAAATCGTCTTTGACTATAGTGGTTTTTCTCAATTTTGTCCTAAACGACTTTGGTGACTTAATGTAGTCCCAGAGTTTTGTGTTTTTACTCAATTTCGTCACAGACTTTTGTGTTTTTGCTCAATTTAGTCTCCCATTTGTTATTCCGTCCATTTGTTGTTAAATAAATAGACAATTCATTAATTTTAATATTGGCATCTCTTTATTCATAGACATGTGAAGTGCGAAATCCCTTTTTTTTTTTTTTTTTTACGAATTATTCCCAGAATCACTTCTAAAGTTGCGAATATAAAATTTGATTCGTAGGTCTGAGAGTAACTCTGGGTGTAATTCGTGTAAGAAAGAGAGATTTTTCACTTCGCAGGTTGAAAGTAAAGAGAGGTCAATATTGATATTATTGAATTGTCCCTTTATTTAACACCAATTTGATGGAATAACAAACGGAGGACTAAATTGAGCGAAACACAAAAGTCTGGGACTATATTAGGTCATCAAAGTCGTTTAGGACAAAATTGAGAAAAACCACTATAGTCAAGGACAATTTTGGGTATTAACTCTATATAGTATGAACTAATTTAACAAACTCTTAACCCATACACACCCGTGATTTACTTTGGGGGAGGCATTAGATGCCTACATTTACTTCTCTAATCTAAGTTTGTTTGTTTAAACTGTAAAAAGGTTTGCAAAGCAATAGGAATTTAAACCTTTTTCTTTTATCTTTTTATGTTGCAACTAGTATTTGTCCCGTGCGATGCACGGAAAATATGTTATAAAAATATACAATATATGAGGTTTATTCATATATAAAATTTTTGTTATTTAATAATTATTATGTGTGAATTCCTATGATAAAATTATGAACATAAATATATTTACAATTAAAATAATATTTAAGGTGGGTGATTACTACAAATCTTAAACTATATTAAAAATTTAGTACATAGCATTTAATATTATAAATTTTTAAGAACTTAGTAAACTACAATAGTAATTGAATTACGGAGTACAATTTTAGAGTCACCACGGATCAAAATAGTTTGGCAGAAACAAAAAGATAGTCAAACGGACATATTGGCTACTTTCTTTGCCCTAACGGTCACAAACCCCAAAATTCAAATCCCCAAAACCCTCTCCTCAAATTGGAAACTAGCCGTTACCACACTCGACCAATAAAATTGATTTTGACCATCTCCATAATCATATCCATTATTATCAATCAATATCTTCCTAAAATTAAACCACCGTTTCAAAGATTGAGAAATTTCCAAACTTGAAATCATCCCTCTTTGTGTGCTGATCTCTTGCTTCATCAACAATGGCGGGCTCCTCCAATAGATCTCCGTCGCCGGTGCCGTTAAGGCACAGTCCCCACCCAAGAATCTCCTCCTCCTCGGAGGTCCATTCCGCCGCCAGGAGAAGTTTCAGTGGCAGTCCTTCTCCCAAGCCTTTTCCGCTCACGAACCCTAGACGAAGCTTCAATCCCATCACTCCCGCTAATAGCCCGGCAGGTACTGAGCTTTTTGAATTCAAGAAAACTGAGTTATCAAGATTTTTTTAAAAAATTAGTTTTTTCTTGATTTTAATTGGATTTGGGTGTTTTTCAGATTCTGGGAGGAGGGGTTTACCGGTGAAAGAGGAGGTTGCTGCATCTTCATGGGATTTCGCAGAGAAAGAAAACGAAAGAGCGGCGAAACTCCGGTCACCGGCGAAGGGCTCCAAAAATTTCATGTCTCCGACCATTTCCGCCGCTTCCAAGATCTGCCCATCACCCAAAAAGAAGGTCTTGGTGGACAGAAATGAGCCGGTTCGGTCTTCAATCACGTTGTGCGACGGTAAAGCTACGTTCTTTTCATCGATCTCTTCAGAATCTACCGAATATTCCAAGCCAAAGCCCGAGATTCGTGCGGATAAGAGCAGCATTCTGGGCATTCCGGACCATAAGGAGGATATTCTTCAAGTTCAAGGTCCTCCAGTTACAAAAACCTTGAAAAGGGTAAAATTTGCTGAGGTACCTTTATATTGTGATAATGTTTCTGATTCATTATCTGAGACAGTAGTAACAGATTCTGATTGTTTCACTGCTGAAACATCCTCAAAGAACATAAGTTCTTGTTCCACTTTGTCTTCTCCTAGTACTAATATAGCTCCACTTGATGCTGATCCATCTCCGAGCCCTTATGATCCCAAGACTAATTACCTTTCTCCTAGGCCTCAGTTTCTTCACTACAGACCAAATCCAAGAATTGATGTTCTTAGAAGCTTGGATAAGGGTGGTGATATGGGGGAGCCTAAGCAGCTAGATGAGAGTTTTATGTCTGAAATTGTATCTGAGAACTCTGACTCTGAGTCTCAGATGGAAGATTCTCAGAAGGAATCTGAGGATTCTTCTTCTTCAGAGGCAGAGGTAGTAGTAGTAGAATCTGCAGTTGAAGAAACAGACATGGCTGAAGAGCCTAAGTCTTCAGAGGAAGAGGTAGTGGTGGTAGATAAGTCTTTGGAGGAGGAGATAGTACTAGAACCAGAAACTGATGAAACAGATGAAATGGTTAAGGAAATCCCAGATGTATTTAAGCCAACGAAACGTAGATTCTATGTCCATTCGAAGTTGTTTTATAGTACTATTTTCCTTGTCATGATTGCTTGTTTATCAATCTCAGTGACTGATACTCCAATCCTCAATGGTTATGGAGTCAAAGATTTGAAACTCACCAATATCTCTCACTTGGGATCACAAATTTCTGGGTTGTTTCAATCTACTTTGAAGGATCAGTTCATGGGGACTTCGGGTTTTAGTCCAGTGCAGTTTATAGACATCAGTGCTGATCTTGAAGGGGGTAGTAAATGGGAATTAGAAGAGGATAGAGAGTTTGAGGAATTGGAAGAAGATGATGTAGAACCTGAGAAAATGGTAGAAAAAGTTGAAGAAGATGAGGTGAAAGAGGATGTTGAGTCTGATGGTGAAGGATCTGAAGAAGAAGAAGAAGGTGAAAACCTCGAGTTTGAGGTTAAAGAGGATGCCAAAGCTGAAGAGGCTGAATTTGAATTGGAGGAGGATAAGGTTGAAGAGGATGTGGAAATGGAATCTGAAGAAAGCCTCGTGTTAGAAGTCGAGGGTGGTCAGGATCTAAAGCAAGAGCTCGTTGCTTCTTGCTATGATTCTGTTAATGCTGATGAAGTTGCTGCTGTGTCACAGGACTTTGATATCAAAACTGAATCTGCTACTGCACCCGCTGATATTCAGCCTGAAGTAGTCGAAGTGGTTAAATTCGAGGGTGATGATAATGCAATTCCCCATACTGAACTTGAAACCGCTTTGTTGGATGCCAATCTCGAGACTAAAATGGATGATTCTTGTGTTGAGAAGCCCTCAACTTTAGAAATGCTGGCGTCTACGATTCAGGAAAGGAGTTCTACAATCCTAGGAATTTCGTCGTTCTTACTCAGTGCAGTGGCAGTTGCAGCTTTCATCTTTGTCAAACAAAAGAACCCGACTCCAGATTATGTGGTGGTTCCAGCATGTTTGCCCAAGAACAACCTAGTATCATCAGCTTCTGCAAAGCATATAGTGCAAGAGAAACAAACTTCTGATGAGGATTGGGAACCAGAAACCGATGTTGTTGCAGAGTCGTCTTGCCCTTCGGAAATGAGCAGCAGCTTTGAAGTGAGCACATCTCACAGCAGAAAGGATGCTGCAATGCAACAGACCAGCAGAGCTCGGAGACAGGAAAGAAAACCGGGCAAAAGCAGCAGTTCGAGAAGGGAGTCGGTTGCTGCTTCTTCGGATTACTCTCTGGGTTCGCCATCGCCTTCTTATGGAAGTTTCACCACCTATGAGAGGATCCCAATCAAGCATGTAAGTCCAGCACTCAAAAAATGTTATTTTTTTCAGGCTGATAAACACCATCCCCCTCTTCTAAAAATGTTGTTTTTTTCTAACAAATATGGCTATTTTCTTTGTTATTATAGGGAAGTGGTGGAGGTGAAGAAATTATTACTCCTGTTAGGCGCTCTAGCAGAATTAGAAGCAGCCAAGTTACTTCACCATGAATTCTTCAAGTCTGAAGCTTTCTTCACCATGAACTGAAGAACTCAGCTTTCAACATAACTTTAGGCATTAGCTTTTAACATCTCACGTGTGCAGATGGGAATTTGTAGTCAGTTTCTGACTGAACTTGAAATGATTGTTTGTGATTTCTAGGATGTTGGTAGCTTAGGTTAAAAACATTATTGCTGTTTTTTTTTTGGTTTTTCACATTCTGTTTATATTTAGTACATGTGGTGAAGTGTGTTGGAGATATATGGCTGCCTGATTTCAATCAAATAGGGTACTAAAAATTGTAACAACTCATAACAAACTCTTTCATCCTCTCTTGCTTCAATTCCAGTAAGCTCTAGTTTCTCTCTTTTGTATTCATCTCTATTGCTTCATCGTTGATTTCATAAAAACTACTACAAATTAAATGGAATAACAGTTTACTATAAATCCACCCACAAATAGCATACTAATAATCCTTCCACTCATAGAATGAATAACTCATGAGAAAAAAGTATTATAAGCATATAACTTATGGAAAAAAACATAATTTTCCTTTTTTAAATCAAAGCCCGCAACAAATGGATTACAAGATATGAAGCAGTAATTAATAAGTTGTCAAACTAGGAGTTGGGGAAAGCCACGCTGATTGAAAATGCCCCGTCCGTACGTAGATGACACCAAATCTACCAGCAAAGGGAATTGAAGAAGCACAAATGAAGTGACCGGCAAACATGCAAATGCAGCCACTACAATAAGAACTCCCCTTCTGTTATGTCCAAATACGAGATAAACTGTGGCGGAAAAGGCACTCATCATAAATATTATGGACAAAAACAAGGTGAAGAGGCCTATGATTAATCTCTTGGGAAGAGCATATAGGAAGTCTTGTTCTGCATAGCGTGAAGTTAGGATGGACAAGAAGACGAGCAAGGAAGTAGCTGATGTGAAGAGAGATGCAGCATTTGAGATGGCGAATACTGTGAAAACAGTGTTGTTGGAGAAGATTGGGAGGCCATTTCCACCATTATTGCCACCAGGAACTGTAATGGCTGCTGCAAAGACTACAGTAACAATGAGGGCTGCGGCAATTGTGCATGAAGTTGCTGTGTCTTTCATCCATTTCTCCCCTGCCTCTTTTAACTCCTTATGCTCCTCCGTAAAGACCATACTCGGAGTTTTGTCATTTCTATTCCGATATGACAAGAAACGTGATGGTGAGATTTTTTTCACTTCCTGCAGATTAGATGAAATTAAATGAATCATATATATATATATATATATATATATATGTGTGTGTGTGTGTGTGTGTGTGTGTGTGTGTGTGTGTGTGTTAGTTAAAAAATAAAAATAAAAGTATGTTAGGTCAGACAATCCCAACACCAACTCCAACCAAATTGGTCTCTAAATTGTTGAATTATAACTACAAGATAACAAGTTTGTTGAATTATAACTACAAGATAACAAGTTTGACTCTCAATAGAACTGTCTAGACTGGTTTACTAACAAGACAGTACTAGCATGGGGTTTACCCTGTGTATGCACCTTCATGTAGTCCATGGATGTGAGTTTCACCGTCATCACAAAAATAAAAATAAAAATAAAAATGAGAGAAAACATATGATGGATTGTGACATATATACCATACCTTAAACCATTGAAGCTCTCGTTGCATTTGAAGAGCTGCACCAGAAACAAGATTTAGTTTGTGTGGAGGTGCCAATTTCCCAGCCAAATGCAAAACACTATTAAGATTTATGTCCGGAAAATTCAGTAAAGTACTCCTAACCACATTGGTTCCACAAACAAGATTAAAAACATTTTCGCTACGTTTCTTTACTGCAATGTGAAGTATATTCTGCTCATCGGAGTTCTTGAAATAAACCGACATAGGATATGCTTCCACAATATTTAGGATAACTTGCGAAATGTCTAAACTCGCTGCTTCAATGACTGCATCCTTTGCCAGTGAGACCACTTGTGTATCATTTAGGGTTGTGAGTTGATAACACAAGCATTTAAGAAGCTTCACAGCTTGGTGGTGCAGCACCATTTTGTTTACTATACTCTTCCCTACGAGCCCTGATAGAAATATCCAATTAAAACAATAAAAATAAAAATCTATTACTTTTTATTATTATATATCTTAGCTTCCAACTATATATATATATATATATATATATATATATATATATATATATATATATATATATATTCTGATCTGATGTGGTTATGTTAGGTAGTTATGTATACACACATCCATACGACATACATACATGGTAGTAGTGAGGTGATGATGTGAAAAATTGGTGTATATGCTTCTGACTCGTCCTTAGAAACACCTGCAATATAATGCATGCAATAATAATTTTACTAGTAAGTTAAAAATTGAAATGAGCAGTAATTAAATGGTTTACAGGCACGAGATCGAACAATAAGTGTGTGTATATATATATATATATATAGTAAATACCCAAAATGGTCCCTCTACTATAGCTAAATTCACAAATTGATCCTCGACTTTTAATTTCAACCAATTAAGTCCTTAACTTTGTAATTTTGACACGATTTGGTCTTCTATCTACTTGAATGTTTGTTGACCGTGATCGACGATCTCCAGAAGAACCTTTAGCTCTCGTCAGAGCACGTGGAGGCCTCCAGGATGACGTTGCACTGGTTCGGAAACACGTCGTCTTCTTCGCTCTGGTATGAAGAAAGGCGACCGGATTTGGTACATTGCTTTTGGCAGTAGATTCAAATGTAACAGTACGGTCTGGAAATGCAACTAGAACCTTAAAAAACCGACGATGGACCATGGAATTACATATATATCCTCAAAAATCACAATCAACAAACGGTCAAATAGACAGAGGACCAAATTATGTTAAAATTACAAAGTTAAGGACTTAATTGGTTGAAATTAAAAGTCGAGGACCAATTTGTGAATTTAGCTATAGTCGAGGGACCATTTTGAGTATTTACTCATATATATATATATATATAAAGATAGACGATAGAAATGGAAAGTTACATTACTCACAATAGTATATGAAACTTTGCCAAAATTTTAGACTGTGTTTGTTAACAATGGAACAGTCATTAAGTATGACAACCAAAGCTGATGCGTCGTTAGCTAATCTCTTATGACGGCCCAAATCAGGGTACTGTCCAATCACCTGCAGAGCCAAATCTGTATATATATATATATATATATACACAATTAAATTTTAATAATAAGCTAGCTAAGCAAATATAGTTGGACGGGGTTGTACTACCAATCGTTATGCTGTGCATCCGTATGCACCATGCATGGTGCATACGGATGCCAAAACGACGTCGTTTTATTAAAAAACGCGCGTCTCCCCTTTAAAAAATTTTCAGGTTCGATTCCCAGCAACAACATTATATTGTTCATTCATTCTGGAATTTTAGTTCATAGATTATGGAATTATAGTTCATTGATTATGGAATTATAGTTCATCGATTATGGAATTGTAGTTCATCGATTCTGAAATTTTAGTTTATAGATTATGGAATTTTAGTTCATTCATTCTGGAATTTTTAGTTCATAGATTAGATTATGGAATTATAGTTCATCGATTATGGAAATATAGTTCATCGATTATGAAATTTTAGTTCATATGTTGTTGCTGGGAATCGAACCTGATTTTTTTTTTTTAAGGAGAAACGCGCGTTTTATTAAAACGACGTCGTTTTTGCATCCGTATGCACCATGCATGGTGCATACGGATGCACAGCATAATTTGCCGTTGTACTACGTACTATATATACGTACCATAGAATTTATATTCGATTAATTCAGCAAGCAAAGAGACACCAGTTGGGCCTTGATATGGATTAGGCTGCCCGTGTTGACCATCCCTAGTGAGACGATAGAAATAGAGAAAGACGTCCTTGCTTTTGCGATGATTCGTAGCCGCATAATGGATGGGGAACCAGCCATTGTTGTTGGGAAGATAGTGGAGATTAGGATTCCTGGCAAGAAGGATACCAGCCACCTCAATGTTTCCATGCCGGGCAGCCATGTGAAGAGGGTTACGCCCTTCGGCATCTCTGGGGCCAAGCGCTTCTACTTGTTCATTTTCCAACAGTAATGCTACAAGGTTTTGGGTGAAGAAGACATTACCTACTCTAGCACCAACATGCAATGCAGTCTCTAAGTTGATGTTAAGTGGAGATTGAATTGCTTCACGGTGTTGGGTGAAGAAGATTTCAGCTTCCACCCAATTTGCTTCCAAAATAGCTCTGTATAGTGGCCGGTATATGCTGTAATCAACTGCAACATCATCCTCATCATCATATCATATCATATTTGGAAGAATTAATTAACACATATATTGTACGTACTCTACCTGCCGGTTGTGGAGGAAGTGCAGCCATTTAATTTAATTTCTGCAAATTTATTCTATCTGCTCTTATAAACTAACTCTATCTGGCGATTAAAATTTATGCAGACCGTTTCATTTTATAGCGCTTCAAACTTCAAAATAATGGATTTATATATAAGCAGGTAGGCCAGGCCAGGCTTGCTATCACCTACTTTACAACCTAACAACCACATTCTTTGTTATGCTAATCATTACCAAATTCAAATTAAAGCTATGCTAGCTTTTCTTACTTTTTTGCTTTTATATCAACCACCCGTGCGATGCAAACTGTATATTATTGATCTGTGATAATTTGAAATACATGATGAGATATGTATTTATGATGAGAGTGTATGTAAAAGTATTGTATTCAGTAATGATGTCTGAGAGTACATGCAGAATGTAAATATATAGAGATACTAGATAGAATCATAGACCAACACGAATCTAGAATAATAGCGTTGAACATACAATAGAGAGGAAGAAAGACCAGGGACATGCAAAACATCATGTAATTTAAACGACCTAGAATTAGTGGCTAACGAAGCGGAACCAACATTAACTATAGGCAAACATGTACCACTACCGACTCGTAGAGTTTCTGGGCCATCATATCTTGTTGCAGAGGTCATTAAGGATGAATCATGGATGGCATGATTCGTAGCACCGGTGTTAGGGAACCACTCATTGGGACCAGTACTATCACCATTATCACCAGGAACGGCCACATTCGCCTGAGGAGCCCGTGGGGGGGGGGGGGGGGGGGGGGGGGGGTCAAGAACCGATGCCAACATGCAAGAGCATCGTGACCTTGCTTGTTGCAAATTTGACACCGCGGACCTGACTTTGAGCCACGCCCGCGACCGCGACCGCGCCTGCCTCCGCCCGAGCCGCGACCGCCATGGCCGTCGTGACCCGCAGTTGCACCGATGCCAACACGCAAGAGCATCGTGACCTTGCTTGTTGCAAATTTGACACCGCGGACCTGACTTTGAGCCACGCCCGAGCCGCGACCGCCATGGCCGTCGTGACCCGCAGTTGCACCGCCTCTGCTTGCTGCCATCGCGACTGCCGCCACACCCCCGGCACAGATCCATTCTTGAGATACCAAGAAGTCTGCCACCTCGGCAAGCGGAACCAGAGCACTCCGAGCTAGGGTTGCCACAAGTGGACGAAACTTAGACCGCAAGCCACGAAAGACATACAAATTTTGATCGTCTAACGTAACATCGCGACCGGCCATGGCCAAATCATCAACTAATAGTTGCGCACGGCCGATGTAGTCCGCTATTGAAGAGTCACCTTGTCGTAAAGCTTGTAACTCACCGAACAATCGCCATGCCCGGGATCTCGAAGAAGAAGCGAGAGATTGTTCTATGGTGAGCCAGAGTTTCCGCGAAGTGGAACAACCAACAGCAAAACGCATCGTCTCCTCTGAGAGAGACGAAATTAAAAGAGATAAAATAGTTTTGTCTTGCCTTTTCCATGCCGTCTGTTGCGCAACGAGTTCACCCGCCGCCGCCATGCTGTCGGCAGTCGAGGCGACGGTGTCGGCAGCAGCAACCGACGACGTGACCGGGTACGGAATAGTCCCATCGATGAAGCCAAGAAGGCCTTGACCTTCCAAGAACGGTAGCATCTATGTTCGCCAAAACAGATAGTTACGGGAGGTCAATTTGAGAGAGACAAAGTGATGAGCCGATGATAGGCTATTCCCAGTAGGCATAGGAGAAGTCTCGGTAATGGTCCGTTCAGAAGATCGAGCAGAGCCATCATCAGGTAGACCGGGACCTTCAATGGGAGAGAAACCTAGAAGCTGAAACAAGATGAGAGTGTATGTAAAAGTATTGTATTCAGTAATGATGTCTGAGAGTACAGAATGTAAATATATAGAGATACTAGATAGAATCCTAGACCAACACGAATATAGAATCCTAAACTAACACGAATAATAGTCCTAGTCAAATATGAATAATATAGTCCTAATATTTATAAGGATATAACAAATTCAGGATAGGAATGATAATGGTTAATATTCCTTCATCATATTTCTAATAATATAAGGAGAGAGAGAATGAATTCTAGTGCGTTAAAATACAGAGTCCTAATACGCCCCCTCAAGTTTAAGATTACGCCCCCTCAAGTTTAAGATTTTCTAGAGAAAACATTGAGCTTGTCCCTTAAATAATTTAGTCTTGCTATGGTTAGTGACTTGGTGAAGATGCTTGCCAGTTGGTCTTTTTGTAGAGATATAGTTTCTTTTATGCTACTTTGTCACGAATAAAATAAAAGAATCCTGACGGACCAAAATTTTTGGCCTAAGGATCTGCAGCGACGAAACAATACTCATTTGAAACATCGCTTGAACGGAACACTTATCTAGAACACATCTACAATGGAACACTCATTCTGAACGCAACTACAATGGGTAAATAGAGTATCCTTCCTTCCTATACACAAGATGAGTGGTAGTTTGGATGGTTGATGTTTGTGTTGTGAAATAGAAAGTTGTGAGTTTGATTCTTGTTGGTTAGGTCACCATTTCTCTCTGCCACACCCTTGGCCAAAACTTTCCCTTCCCCCGAGGTCCTATTTTCTCATCAAATGCTTAAAATTCAAATTGCTCAAATCTTAAAAACCAAAAGTCTGTCTACATATTCAAATGTAATGATTGTGATTTGCGATTTCCCTCGTCATAAAACCTATTCAAATTTAATGATTGTGTCATAAAACCTAAATAATGAGTTATCTTGTCTACATATTCAAATGTAGTGATTGCGAATTTGACGGTAATAACATTACTAGAGTATATTTGGAAAGTAATGTTTTGTATTGCTATATTTAGGCTCTGTTTGACAAATCTTATTTAGAAGCATATAGCTTATAATAAGCTATAAATTTAGTTTGGTAATGTTTCCAAAATAAGTTCATAGGTTAAAATAAGAGCTTATTTTGAAACGCTACATTAGGTAGCGTTTCAAAATAAGCTACTAGCTTCCTAATTTTTTTTCATCTTTATCCTTATTATTTTAAAGAAATGACATACTCTACCATTCTCAAACAAAACCCTTTTCTCTTCTCAACAACTTTCACCGCACGACAATCCCTCCATCTTCATTCGCACTTCGCTCTCTTCATCTTCAAATAGTAATATCTCCATCAACGAAAATTTAAGTTAGACCTCTATTGAACTGAAGGAGATTCGCAACAATATTGCTACATCATTATGGGATGCTAGATCATGATTATGATAATAGTTTTATTTCAAAATGTTAATATTTTTTTTGAAGAAAAAATGTTAAATTTTAATATGTAAACAAACTACTTTAAATTTTTTAAAGATGTCCTTTTTAATCTTTTTACATTTATCAGCTTATCAAAAAGTTAATTTTACCAAACACTTTGAATCATAACAGTTCTTTAGTTTTCAGCTCATAGCTTATAACTTATAGCTTTTCAGCTAAGTTTGCCCAACAGAGTTTAATGCTCTATTTGACAAAGCTTATTTAAGAGCTTATAACTTATTTTAAGCTACTAATAAGCTATAAGCTCTGTTTGGTAATGTTCCTAAAATAAGCTCCTAGCTTAAAATAAGAGCTTATTTTGGAACACTACATTTATGTAGCGTTTCAAAATAAGCTACTAGCTTCCTAATTTTTTTTTTCAATCTTTATCCTTATTATTTTAAAGAAATGACATACTCTACCATTCTCAATTAAAACCCTTTTCTCTTCTCAACAACTTTAACCGCACGACAATCCCTCCATTATCTTCATTCGCACTCCGCTCCCTTCATCTTCAAGTAGTAATATCTCCATCAACGAAAATTTAAGTCAGACCTCTATTGAAATGGAGGAGATTCGCAACAATATTGTTACATCATTATGTGATGCTAGATCATGATTATGCTAATAGTTTTATTTCAAAATGTTAATTTTTTAAGACAAAATGTTAAATTTTAATATGTTAACAAACTACTTTAAATTTTTTAAAGATGTCATTTTTAGTCTTTTTACATTTATCAGCTTATCAAAAAGCTAATTTTACCAAACACTTTTAATCATAACAGTTCTTTAGTTTTCAGCTCATAGCTTATAGCTTTTCAGCTAAGTTTGCTAAACAGTACCTTAGAGAAATTACATTATTTAAGTACTAAGAATACATTATTTTGTATAATGTATATTCAGTATAATAATAATATATTTTTAATATATTAAAAATATACTTTTTTTAATGGTCCACACATCACATGATAATTTTCTAAATTTAAGTTGCAGTAGTCGGTAATTTTCAACAACATTCTTAGGCTAACTCCATCCTTGAAATGATATGAGCTTGCAAGTCCACATGGCAATTTCTTTTTAAATTTTTACTTAAAATTTATTTTTTTGCCACTTGGTTTGCAAGCTTGCTAAGCTTTTTAGCTTTTGTACTTGTTTTCTATTTTTTAAAATTATTTTATTAGTATTAGTGTTAACAAGTGAGTTGGAATTATATGGATTTAAAATTGAGGTTCACTTTTCGGAGGGAGTTAAAATTTTAGAGATGTAAAAAAATAGTGAAAATATTACAAATTTACAAATTTGATAATGTAGAAGTGGGATTATTTTTTGGAGTGAAATAAAATTACAGGGTTAAGAGTGTTGGACTCTACCTTAAATGCACCATTCCACCTAACCAAGTTTGCAGGTTAACAAGGTCACTGGGTGGCCTTAAACAAGCTAGCAAACAGTTGAATGCTAAGCTCAGAGCACTTAGACCCTTCATTTTTTTTTTTTTTAAGTTAGACGTCAAAACGACGTCGTTTTTGCATCCGTATGCACTATGCATAGTGCATACAGATGCACAACATAACGATTGAAATTATATAATCTTATTTATTTATTTATTTATTTATTTTACTAATAATTTTGTGATTTAGTAACACGGTGATTTTTCCATATGAGAGGTTATGAGTGTCTTTGGGGACACCATTGACTCTTAGGGTCAATAGTTCTAAAAACAAACACTCTTGTTAAAAAAATACAATCCCATTTCCATTTTCTCCTCTCCTTTCTCTTTTCCTCCCTTTTTCTTCCTCTCCTTTTTCCTCCACTAATTTTTGTCTTCCCCTTTCCACCTCCCACCCACACTCTTTCCCCATTTTCTTCTCCATTTTCCAGCATTCTCTTTTCTTCATAACTTCCCAAAAGCAATGAGACATTGAGATTGGTTGTAACTACCATGAACTCTCCCAGCCGAACGTACTGCTCCCTACCTTTTCCATCTTTTCTCTCTTTTTTTCTGTCTGCTTATGAAGTATGTATAAAGACCCACAAAGCTTTCTTGAAATACTATCCACTACAACACCAACTTTATTGGAAGTGTCATTTGCTTAGCTTTTGACTCTTCATCATTAGCCTCACCCTCCCTATCTCTCTTTTTCTTGTAAATATACCATCCATTCTATTAATGTAAACTTTAGTAACAGAAGAATTTATTATTGTTAACTTACTTATTGATTGTAATTTTATAAAAAAGGTCTTAGGTTTTAATCTCATCCCAATCAAAATTGACATAATTATTAAACATATACTAAGAATATGTTAGAATACAGTGTATTAAAAAAATAAAAAATAAAATTTAACATGAACATTGGTAAACTAATTAGAATCACACATTGACATTGATAAAACGGTACACCTACATATATTATGAATATGTTAGATTGAAATTCAATGTATTAAAAAAATACAAAATAAATTTTAACATTACTTTAGTCAATTAATTAGAATCATATATTAGTATACAAAATAATACTTTGATAAATTTTGAAATACTAATTTTAAAATACATATTGGACATTGAACCATCCGTGCAATGCGCGAGTGTAACTAGTATATAAGAAAAAAAGGAAAGCATATCCTGCTAATTGTAAACAGAAATTATAATGCATACACTTTGATATTAATTGCGAATTTCAATCGCCAGGCCACCCAATATATATATATATATATATATTCTCAATCTAACAAGGCATTGATTTAAAAAGGCAGAAATTGTACTCTTCATCTTTTTTAATGGATCAAGATTCATTATTATTATGTACATTGTAATGCATGTGCATATTATGTATCTTCAATTAACATATACTCCGTAATATATTATATAATTTTTTTTGAACTAAGGTCTAAATGACCATTTAATGGAGTGGGTGGTTGGTGGGTTCCTAAAGATTTTGCCATTTTACGCTGCTCTTTATTTAATGCATTTCAGCTGGCTGGTTTTGAATTTGAGTAAGCTGAACATTATATTTAATTTGATTGGACTTCTCTTAGAGCATCCACACTAAGTAAAGAATGTGGAGATAAATGGGGAGAATAATTAGTGTGAAGAAGAAAGAATGGGGGAAAGAATAGACTTACAAGTATGGGGAGCATTGGAAAAAAAAAAAAAAAAAAGATCACATGTTGTGCGCGTTTGGCGCATAACATGGACACAGTCGGGCGCACGAAACCGCTTTGTTGGATGCCAATCTCGAGACTAAAATGGATGATTCTTGTGTTGAGAAGCCCTCAACTTTAGAAATGCTGGCGTCTACGATTCAGGAAAGGAGTTCTACAATCCTAGGAATTTCGTCGTTCTTACTCGGTGCAGTGGCAGTTGCAGCCTTTGTCTTTCTCAAACAAAAGAATGCAACTCCAGATTATGTGGTGGTTCCAGCATGTTTGCCCAAGAACAACCTAGTATCATCAGCTTCTGCAAAGCCTATAGTGCAAGAGAAACAATCTTCTGATGAGGATTGGGAACCAGAAACCGATGTTGTTGCAGAGTCGTCTTGCCCTTCGGAAATGAGCACATCTCACAGCAGAAAGGATGATGCAATGCAGACCAGCAGAGCTCAGAGACGGGAAAGAAAACCGGGTAAAAGCAGCAGTTCGAGAAGGGAGTCGGTTGCTGCTTCTTCGGATTACTCTCTGGGTTCGCCATCGCCTTCTTATGGAAGTTTCACCACCTATGAGAAGATCCCAATCAAACATGTAAGTTCATCAGTCTAAAAATGTTGTTTTTTTCACCATTCCCCTCTTCTAAAAATGTTGTCGTTTTCTAACAACTATGGCTATTTAACCTATTTTCTTTGTTATTATATATAGGGAAGTGGTGGAGGTGAAGAAATTATAACTCCTGTGAGGCGCTCTAGCAGAATTCGAAGCAGCCAAGTTACTTCACCATGAATTCTTCAAGTCTGAAGCTTTCTTCACCATGAACTGAAGAACTCAGCTCTCAACATAACTTTAGGCATTAGATTTTAACATCTCACGTGTGCAGATGGGAATTTATAGTCAGTTTCTGACTGAACTTGAAATGATTGTTTGTGATTTTCTAGGATGTTGGTAGCTTAGGTTAAAAACATTGCTGTTTTTTTTGTTCACATTCTGTTTATATTTAGTACTTGTGGTGAAGTGTGTTGGAGATATATGGTTGCCTTATGGAATCAAAAAGCGTGGTCTAGTGAGTAGATTATTATCCACAACTTCACAATGTCAAACAATTATATGTATGCACAATAAGCAAGAATATATTTACTCTATAAATTTTCAATAAGATCAGAATACAATAACACCAAGAATGACTTTAAGTGGCCTGTGATAGTTAAAAAGCATAATAATATATATTGTATAAAGTCTAAATATTTTATTAAAACATGTTCAAAGAAAAATATGGTAATGATATAGGATATGGTATCTCCATTATGTGAAACTAGTCTATTTGATTCACGAGAAAGCTCATAACAAATGTACTTTGGCTTAAACTTATGCCTAGAACCACAAATTAAAATGATCAAAGCATTACAAACTCAATATGAGTGGCATGCAAGTCAAAATGGGAGCTGGGGAAAGCCACGCTGATCGAAAATGCCCCGTCCGTACGTAGATGACACCAAATCTATCAGCAGAGGGAATTGAAGTAGCACAAATGAAGTGACCGGCAAACATGCAAATGAAGCCACCATAATAAGAACTCCCCTTCTGTTTTGCCCGAATACGAGATACACTGTGGCGGAGAAGGCAATCATCATAAATATTATGGACAAAAACAAGGTGAAGAGGCCTATGATTAATCTCTTGGGAAGAGCGTATAGGAAGTCTTGTTCTGCATAGCGCGAAGTTAGGATGGACAAGAAGACGAGCAAGGAAGTAGCTGATGTGAAGAGAGATGCAGCATTTGAGATGGCGAATACTGTGAAAGCATTGTGGTTGGAGAAGAATGGGAGGCCATTTTTATCATTGTTGCCACCAGGAACTGTAATGGCAGCTGCAAAGACAACAGTAACAATGAGGGCTGCTGCAATTGTGCATGAAGTTGCTGTGTCTTTCATCCATTTCTCCCCTGCCTCTTTTAACTCCTTATGCTCCTCCGTAAAGACCACACTCGGAGTTTTGCCATCTTTATTCGGAAGTTGAAAGTAATTAAATGGTGTGATTTTTTTCACTTCCTGCAGATCAGATGAAACGAATCATATATATATATATATATGTGTGTGTGTTTAAAAATTAAAAATAAAAATTAAAGTTGGTCAGAGAACCCAACCCCAACCAAATTGGTCGTTGATTTGATAATTACAAATTAACAAGTTTGACTCTCAATAAAACTATCTAGACTGATTTACTGACAAGACGTCCTAGCATGGGGTTTACCCTGTGTATGTACCTTCGTGTAATCTATGGATGTGAGCTTCACCGTCATCACAAAAATAAAAATGAAACAATGAGAGAAAACACATAAGAGATGGAGTGTGACATACCATACCTTAAACCATTGAAGCTCTCGTTGCATTTGAAGAGCTGCACCAGAAACAAGATTTAGTTTGTGCGGAGGTGCCAATTTCCCAGCCAAATGCAAAAGAGTATTAGTATTTATGTCTTCAAAATGCGGTAAATTAGTCCTAAGCATATTGGTGGTTCCACAAACAAGGTTAAAAACATTTTCGCTACGGTTCTCTATTGCTATGTGAAGTATACCCTGCTTCTTGTGGTTACTGAAATTAACGGACGTAGGAAGTGCTTCCGCAATATTTAGGATAACTTGCCAAATGTCTAAACTCGCTGCTTCAAAGACTGCACGTTTTGCCAATGAGACTACTTGTGTATCATTTAGGGTTGTGAGTTGATCACACAAGCATTTAAGAAGCTTCATAGCTTGGTGGTGCAGCACCATTTTGTTTACTATGCTCTTCCCTACAAGCCCTGATAGATATATCGAATTAAAACAATAAAAATGAAAATCTATTATATTTTTATTATTATATATCTTCCAACTATATGTTCTGATTTGATGTGGTCATGTTAGGTAGTTATGTATACACACACATCCATACATACATACATGGTAGTAGTGAGGTGATGAGGTGGAAAATTGTTTTTGACTCGGCCTTAGAAACACCTGCATGCAATAATAATTTTACTAGTAAGTTAAAGATCGAAATGAGTAGTAATTAATTGGTTGGCAGGCACGAGATGGAAGAATAAGTCTATATATAAATAAAGGTGGACTATGGAAATTAAATAACGGAAAATTACTCACAGTAATATATGAAACTTTGCCAAAAGTTTAGATTGTGTTTGTTAATAATGGAACAGTCACCAAGAACTAAGGCATCCAAAGCTGATATATCGTTACCTAACCTCTTATGACCGCCCAAATCAGGGTACCTTACAACCAACTGCAGAGTCAAATCTGTATATATAAATTATAAGAGTTAATTCCAGCAATGGTCCTCCGACTATACTGGTTTTCCAAAATTAGTCTTCGACTTTTAATTTGGACACTTTAGGTCCCTTGACTTTTAATTTCTTTCCAATTGAGATCCTTTCGTCAGAATATGATTAATTAAACTTTAAATGAAGGGGTAAACTCGTCCTTTCACCTGCCTATGTATTATTCTTCGTATTTTTCCCTTTGTATTTCGCTGTTATACCTTGTAGACATCTCAATAACGGAGAAACGCACACATGAGCAGTCAATAAATGGGGAACGGCGAGGAACATTCTAGGACTTCGACTGAGATTATCTTCATATATATATATATATATATATATATATATATATATATATATATATATATATATATATATATATATATATATATATATATATATATATATACATACATATATATATATATATATATATATATATATATATATATATATATATATATATATATATATCGCTTATACAAGGGAGAAATATGAAGAATAATACATAGGCAGGTGAAAGGACGAGCTTACCCTTTCATTTAAAGTTCAATTAATTGTATTCTAACGAAAGGACCTCAATTGGAAAGAAATTGAAAGTCGAGGGACCTAATGTGTCCAAATTAAAAGTCAGAATCTAATTTTGGAAAATCAATATAGTCGGAGAACCATTGCTGGAATTAACTCTAAATTATAATAAGCTAGCTAAGCAAAGAGGGTAATTAAGATGGATAAGATATAGTTGGCGGGGCCAGGCCGGGTATGTACTACTATACGTACCATAGAATTTATTTGCGATTAATAGAACAAGCAAAGAGACACCAGTTGGGCCTGCATATGGATTAGGGTGGCCGTAATCCCTAGTCACACCAAGGAAATACACAAAGGCGTCCTTGTGATTATTCATAGGCATAGCCGTATAATGGATGGGGAAAAAACCATTCTTGCTGCGAAGATAGAGGAGATTAGAATTCCTGCGAACAAGGATATCAGCCACCTCAATGTTTCCAGTCTGGGCAGCGTAGTGAAGTGGGGTACACCCATTGACGTCTCTGGGGCCAAGTTCATGGTCCAACAATAATTCTACAAGCTTTTCCATAAAGGAGGCATTACCTACTTTAGCAGCAATATGCAATGCAGTCTCTAAGTGGCTGTTAAGTGGAGATTGAATTGCTGCAGGGTGTTGGTTGAAGAATATTTGAGCTTCCTCCCAATTTGCTGCCAATATAGCTCTGTTTAGTGGCCGGTATTTGCTGTAATCAACTGCAACATCATGTTCATCGTCTATCATCATCATATCATATCATATTTGGGCCGGGGAATTGAAGCTACCTACAATTAATTACTCCCCGTCCTATTTTATGTGTCTGGTTCTAATTAACAAGACTTGACTGAAACTATTTTTAATTCAATTTTTCATAATATTAAGTTTATGGTGTGCTTAGAAACTAAGAAAACAACTTCTCAAAAATGAGTCATCTTTCAGAAAACATTTTCATTTTCAATGTTTAATTTGGTTGCATTTTAGAAATTTGTCTTTTGATTTATTTTTCAAAAAATGAGCAAAATTGTATAATTAAACATTTTATTTATGTTTGTTTAGAATATAACATTTGTAATAATAATAATAATATAAATTGTGGTAGTCGTAGTGGTAGACTGATAGTTGTAGTTAGAGCTGGCCAAAGTCCGGTCCCGGACTGATCTTGGGCCTCAGCCAGCACAGCTCGGGACCGGCCCATAGTAGTCAGGGCCGGTCCCAGGCTTCTTATGGGCCGACCGCGAGCTAGGCCCGTAATTTATTATATTGTTTATTTTATTTTAAATATATAATTTTTTTTATAAATTAATATATTTTTGTTTAAAATGAGTTTTAAACCCTGAAGCTCTTATCTTATCTTAATCTTAGTTATCAATTTAAGTTCTTTCCAATTAAGCTATTACAACCTCTTGATACATAAATAATAATTAATGTATATATACACATTACACACAGTCACACACTTTTCTAAAATTAATATTTTTGTTATTAATCGCAAAATTTAAAATTAACATGATTTTCTACTAAATTAAAATTTATAAATGACGTTAAATACATTTGAACTTGTAGTCTTGTACTATTAAAACTTTATATAAGACTTATTGACTTAATATTATTTGATAACTTTTATAAATATTATAAAATGTAGTATAGTTTATAAAGTTCATTTGATTTTTACTCACTAAATTATGTTAGATGATAAATTAAAAATTTATAAAAGACTTTTAAATTGGGTTTGCTTTTAATTTATGGGGAATTGTTGTGATTAGAAGTAAGAAAGTGTCGGATTAAGAATTTTTGTGTGATAAAAATAAATTGGAAAAGAGTATTTATAGGGTAAAATGGTAAATAAAAAGAAGAAAAACAAACAAATTTAGCCGTTGCACTGATCGAGAGGCGAGAACAGGAGTAGCCTCTACCGGAGGCCAAGCCTAGTCTAGCCTCCGACAGAGGCTACATGCAACGGCCAAATATATTTGGCCGTTTCACGTTGCAGGGATAAGTAGTAAGTAATAAGTCTAGCTGCCACAATCAAAATTACTATTTTTGTTTAGAATTTTAGGCATTTAGCCATGGAAGCAAAGCTGGCATGCTTTGCTGCTATCGTTTTGTTTACCCGGGCCTAGGCCCGGGCCTGGGCCATGGGCCGGTTCCGTGCTGGGCCTCGAATTTTTTTAAAAGGACCTGAACCAGCCCTTAACAAGGCGGTTCCGGTTCGAGCTAAACCCGGCTCAGGCCCAGTAAGGCCCAGGCCCACTTTTTTCCGGGCTGACTCAGGGTTGGTTCGACCTTGAACTGGCCTGTGGCCACCTCTAGTAGTAGTGGTGGTGGTGGTGTTAGAGGTGTTGGCGATGGTGGTGGTGGTGGTGTTGCAGTGGTAATAGTGCTAGTGGTGGTTCGGTATTGGTATGAAAATTGAAAAATGACTTTCACTCACATTTTTAACTCTTGACCAAACACGAGAAATTTGAAAAATAATTTTTATAAATAATTTTTCGAATTTTTTAAATACACCTCAATATTATTATATAAAATTTATATTTATATTATAAATTACATTAAAAGAATTATTAAATTAAATAAAAAATCAATTAAAAAATAATTAAAACTTACTAAAAAATAAACATAAAAAAATTAAAATTATTTTAACCAATGAATAGTAAACACGTTAAATAGTACAAGGAGTAATTAATAAAATTAAACCACACATATATAGGCCCTGTTTGGTAAAAAAATTGGCCTATAGGCCAATTTTGGCTTATTTGACTACTATTAATTGTTTGATTTAGTTAAAATATCAATACAAATGTTTGGTTAATTAACTTTTGGCAACTCCAAAAGGCTAAAATACAAAAAGTTACTCCAAGCAACTTTTTCAATTAGCTTTTTGATAAAATAAATTATACCAAACAGCTATCAGCTAACACCTAATTTACCAAACACTTTTCTACAATAGCCAATGTTATAAACTATTTATACCCTCTAATTAACACAATCAGCTAACAGTTAACAGCTATCAGCTAACAGTCATTTTACCAAACAGGCCATAATAAACGCGTTTTAACCAACCGGCTGTTGAGGAAGTGCTACTTGGGAAGAAGCTGCAGCCATTTAATTTAATTTAATATTAATTTCTGCAAATTGGGTTTTTATCCCAAAGTTATAGATCAAGCCACACACATATATATAGTACGTACTCTACCTGGCGGTTGTTGAGGAAGTGCTACTTGGGAAGAAGCTGCATCCATTTAATTTAATTTAATATTAATTTCTGCAAATTGGATTTTTATCCCAAAGTTATAGATCAAACCACACATATATATATAGTACGTACTCTACCTGGCGGTTGTTGAGGAAGTGCTACTTGGGAAGAAGCTGCAGCCATTTAATTTAATTTAATATTAATTTCTGCAAATTGGGTTTTTATCCCAAAGTTATAGATCAAGCACACACATATATATAGTACGTACTCTACCTAGCGGTTGTTGAGGAAGTGCTACTTGGGAAGAAGCTGCATCCATTTAATTTAATTTAATATTAATTTCTGCAAATTGGATTTTTATCCCAAAGTTATAGATCAAACCACACACATATATATAGTACGTACTCTACCTGGCGGTTGTTGAGGAAGTGCTACTTGGGAAGAAGCTGCAGCCATTTAATTTAATTTAATATTAATTTCTGCAAATTGGGTTTTTATCCCAAAGTTATAGATCAAGCCACACACATATATATAGTACGTACTCTACCTAGCGGTTGTGGAGGAAGTGCTACTTGGGAAGATGCTGCATCCATTTAATTTAATTTAATATTAATTTCTGCAAATTGGAGTTTTATCCCAAAGTTATAGATCAAACCACACATATATATATAGTACGTACTCTACCTGTCGGTTGTTGAGGAATTGCTACTTGGGAAGAAGCTGCAGCCATTTAATTTAATTTAATATTAATTTCTGCAAATTTGGTTTTTATCTCAAAGTTATAGATCAAGCCACACACATATATATAGTACGTACTCTACCTGGCGGTTGTTGAGGAAGTGCTACTTGGGAAGAAGCTGCATCCATTTAATTTAATTTAATATTAATTTCTGCAAATTGGATTTTTATCCCAAAGTTATAGATCAAACCACACACATATATATAGTACGTACTCTACCTGGCGGTTGTTGAGGAAGTGCTACTTGGGAAGAAGCTGCAGTCATTTAATTTAATTTAATATTAATTTCTGCAAATTGGGTTTTTATCCCAAAGTTATAGATCAAGCCACACACATATATATAGTACGTACTCTACCTGGCGGTTGTTGAGGAAGTGCTACTTGGGAAGAAGCTGCATCCATTTAATTTAATTTAATATTAATTTCTTCAAATTGGATTTTTATCCCAAAGTTATAGATCAAACCACACACATATATATAGTACGTACTCTACCTGGCAGTTGTTGATGAAGTGCTACTTGGGAAGAAGCTGCAGCCATTTAATTTAATTTAATATTAATTTCTGCAAATTGGATTTTTATCCCAAAGTTATAGATCAAGCCACACACATATATATAGTACGTACTCTACCTGGCGGTTGTTGAGGAAGTGCTACTTGGGAAGAAGCTGCATCTATTTAATTTAATTTAATATTAATTTTTGCAAATTGGGTTTTTATCCCAAAGTTATAGATCAAGCCACACACATATATATAGTACGTACTCTACCTGGCGGTTGTTGAGGAAGTGCTACTTGGGAAGAAGCTGCAGCCATTTAATTTAATTTAATATTAATTTCTGCAAATTGGGTTTTTATCCCAAAGTTATAGATCAAGCCACACACATATATATAGTACGTACTCTACCTGGCGGTTGTTGAGGAAGTGCTACTTGGGAAGAAGCTGCATCTATTTAATTTAATTTAATATTAATTTCTGCAAATTGGATTTTTATCCCAAAGTTATAGATCAAACCACACACATATATATAGTACGTACTCTACCTGGCGGTTGTTGAGGAAGTGCTACTTGGGAAGAAGCTGCATCCATTTAATTTAATTTAATATTAATTTTTGCAAATTGGGGTTTTATCCCAAAGTTATAGATTAAGCCACACACATATATATAGTACGTACTCTACCTGGCGGTTGTTGAGGAAGTGCTACTTGGGAAGAAGCTGCATCCATTTAATTTAATTTAATTTTAATTTTTACAAATTAGATTTTTATCCCAAAGTTATAGATCACACACACACAAAAATTATCATTGGCATTGCACTTTTCGTCCGTAAATTATCATTGGCATTTCACTTTTCATTCCTGAGTTATACTAATATTGCAAATTTCGTCCCTAATGTTTTATTAGTAAAGGAACGAAAAATGCAACGTCAATGATAACTTAGGAACGAAAGTGAGTACCACCAACACATAAGAACGAAATCTACGATTACTCTATAAATTAGGATTAAAAAGTGTAATTTTTTTTTTTAATGCTAATCACTACCAAATTCATAGGAATCAAAGCTATGCTAGCTTTTCTTACTTTTTGTTAGTTGCTTTTATATCAATAAGCAAAGAATCACAATTTAATGCGATCTCGGTCCGAGAAACCATAAGAACACCCCCCAAAAAAAAAAAAATCACAATTTAATTTGTCCCTTTAATCAATGATACGCTTAATGTACTAATTCCGGCCTTGCAAAATCAGTAGAACACAATGTTATTAGAATAATAATGGTAGGAATGATATTATTATTCATCAATGATGATTTGAAGTATATGATAAAGATGTGTATTTATAAGGATACAAAGAGTTACAGTTATGATATGAATGGTAAATGGTAATATTCCTAATAATATAAGAAAAGGAAAAATGAATTCTAGTGTGTCAGAATATAGAGTCTTAATATGCCCCTCAAGTTAAGGTTTTCAAGAAAGAAAATTGAGCTCGTCCCTTAGATCATTTAGCCTTGTTGTGGTTAGTGACTTAGTAAAGATGTGTGGTCTTTTTGTAGAGATGTAGTTTCCTTGTAGTTCCTTTTATGCTACTTTGTCACGAACAAAATAAAATAATCCTGACGGATCAAAAATTTCAGCCTCAAGATCGTTACAACGGAACAACACTCATTCAAAGCACTGCACATCTACAACGGAACACTTATCCGGAACTCAGCGACAACAAAACACTCATACGGAGAGCAGCTACAACGAATCATTTATCCAGAGCATAGCTACAATAGAACACTCATCCGGACCACAACTACAAAAGAAAACTCATTCGGAGCGCAACTACAATAGAACACTCATCCGAAGCCTTAGCAAATGAAGCAGACACGGTAACTTGACATCAACGTATTCACTGAGACATTATATTGATCGCAGAGAAATGGAACAAGTTAAGTTTTTCAGAAGAGATAGTTTGAGAAAGTAAGTTTAATAGAAATAAAATGATGAGCTATTTGTAGGTTATTTATGGGGGTTGTGGTTGGATAGAGAAGATGTTGCGAGAAGAAGAGGTACTGGTTATTTATCGGGGTTGTGGTTTCACAGCATAATTTGCCTATGATCCATCATCATGTTCTCATCTACCAACTGTAAAAATATAAATGACATGAAACATATAGGTCTAACCTCTAGCCTTAGTTGATACTTGTTTCCTTTGCTTGCTTGACTTAGTGATTTTGTATGAGACCTTAACTTGTTGCCTTAAGCTGAATTGCATGCTTGACTCAGTGATTTTGTATGAGACCTTAATGTTATATTATGAGAAGTGCCTCAGCACCTTAAATAGCTGCAAACCGGCCATGCCGGTAGGTAGGTTTCCTACATTATTAAATTTTGCACCAACCAAAGGGACAAATTATGCTGTGAGCATGTGCCCACCTCACGATTTCATATCCATAATTTTTATACTGTAGATTTATAAAATTTATACTTTAGATTTCAATTGTTAAACTCTGTTTTCACAAATCAGAGAACTATATGTTCATAATTGATAACTATACAGTTTAGAAATTATGAATTTACAGTACAGAAATTATGAATCTACAGTACAGATATTATGAATCTGCAGTATAGAAATTATGAATCTACTGTATAGAAATTATGAATCTAAAGTATAAATTTTATGAATCTACAGTATAGAAATTATGGATCTACAGTATAAAAATTATGAATCTATAGTATAGAAATTATGGATATGGAACTATGCCCACCTTGCAAGGTCGGTACGTGCTCACAGTATAACGTTCCAACCAAAGGTCCTACTGTATTATTGTTTGCACCAACTAGAGGTAAAGATTCCTTTATCTTCATAACTGTAGAGTTGTTACGTTGTACAATAAAGGGGCGGCGTTTGGTTCATGTCATGTTAGATTATTTAGGTAATTTAAGCCTGTGAATTTATATTTGATGCACCCCGATGTATAGATGTTATATAAGCGGTGAAGGAGAAGATGTCAAATCATTAAGAATTAAAATCAATATTAACCAAGTCCTTTTATGCAAAATATTTAAAACTTTGTATTTTATTAGGAAACTCTTTTTTTTTTTTTTTTAAATATTAAGAAACTATTTTATTTGACAAAATATATCTACTTTTCTAAACATATTTATTACTTAATTATTATATATCTAATTTCATAAACATTGTATAATATATGAATGAAAGGCAAATAATGGATGCATCGATCTGAAGCAAGAAAAAAGACGGAATGATGGAATTAATTAAACCGGGGGTCCGGATTAGTTAACCCGAGTAAATGAATAAAGTAACGAATATGTAATTAAAACGATAATAGGGGTACGAATATAGTCACGGGGACTGATATTGTATTTATTGAACGTATACTGCTATTACAAAGGTGTAGAACATGTAATAACAAGACAAGAAAGTGTTTAGGACCCAAGATAGAACCTCCCTTAACAAGACAATTACTAGGCTATTTATCCAAAAGAAATTCCAACCAATTACGGCTAAATTCGTGGAGGGCCACGGGACTAAATCCAAGGCCATGTGGTGGGCCGTGAGACTAAATCAAGGCCCACCATTCTAGGCCCGGAGGTAAGCTCCGGGCTTGTGACTCTTCTTGAGCTGCTCGGGTCATACATTCCCGGACCCAGGTCTCTATTATTATTGGGCCATTTCTAATATATCCATCATCAGTCCCCTACTCTCTAAGTTGCGAGAAGTCGACAACGAGAGAGAGTAAACATTTGGCCTAATCGAAGCCGCTTCTAGAGGCTCCATGCTTGGATGAATGCTCCAGCGTCAACTTGAATGGAAATATTTTGCTTATTCCAACACCCTTAAAACTTTTAGCCTTGCATTTTAATTCGTGATCCGAATCCTCTCCGTTCGGGATGTATGGACGACGCAGGTTCGTTTATTAGATTCTTGCTCGCGTGATTTTGCTTTATTTTTTATTTTATTTGGCCATGTGTTAGCCTCAGGAACTGCCTAGGAACTATGTAGTATATAGTAGCAATAATTTGAGTTATAATTTGTGACAATAATAAATTATGAACCGATAATTTTGAATCGAATTGAATCAAACCAAATTAGCCTGAAGTTAAGACAGATAAAATAGGACGAATGGAGTAATTAACAATAATCTTGAATTTCTTCAAAATAAAAAAACAATAATCTTGAATTATTGAATGATGCACCCTTCATTTTTTGTTTTTTGGGGTCCTTTCACCTTATCTCTCTTCATTTTTCTTCATTTTTTTATCTTGTCAGGCTACAGTACATCAAGCATTGAAGGGGTATCTTTCGGCTGTTTCATTTCATGATTGGAAATTCTTTATTTAATTTAGGAAAAACAACGTACCCTTTATTTGAGAAAACTGCTTTTTTTTTTTTTTTTTTTTTTTTTAATTTCTAACTTTTTATTTCCTGTTTAAAAAATTTATTTAACTTTTTTTTTTGAAAGGCAGACCAAACTTTTATTACAATATAACATAATTAAAAATATCCGAACCAATAATCTATTGAATTCAATTAGTTTGCAACACAACAAAATCAATTATGGCGGGAGACCTATACTACTTCTGCTTCTACTTCTATGAGGTTAGGTTTCTCGAATATTCTACTCTATATAATTAGATTATATTTTGTCCAGCTGTTTCAGTGAATGGTGTATCAAAGTTGTCAAATGGGACTATGATTTTTTCACCCAATGAGAGTGTCCAAACTTCTTTTAACTTTCAATTTTTTCTTTTTCAAAAATCTGTCTTCATCTGTCAATAAATGAAATTAAATTAGTGTATTGATTTATTCAGACCTTTTGTACATATCAATCAATAAATATAATAATGTAAATTTACTGTTGTCGTGTTTCACTATCTTGAGTTTGCTCTTGAAGTGTTTCATTATCCCGAGTTTGTTCTTCAAGTGGTACATCATTCAACAACTGATGAGACATTGACAGACTCATATCCATAAACCTTTTTATCTTGGCATACCTACACATTAATTAAATGAAAAATCCTATATATATATAATAAAGCCATATGGTCTTGTGAAAATTAAATGGTGATAATCAACATTTAATTTTCACAAGACCATAATAATATTGTAATTGTGAAAATTAAATGTTGATAATCAACATTTAATTTTCACAAAACCATAATAATATTGTTAATTATAATAACAATAATAATAATAATAATAATAATAATAATTGCAATAATAATTATAATGATAATAATTTACATGGACAGTTTCTATCTAATACATACATATATATATATATATATATATATATATATATATATATATATATATATATATATATATATATATTGATACTGCTAATTCTACGTAGGCAATATAAATAACGCAAGACCAAATAAAGCAAGTAAAGTCTTTATTGATCAAGGTAGAGGCCCTAAGTACAATCTACTTGGTTGCTCTGAGTGCCGACTGAGTGCGGTCGGGATTCTCTAACAACAACCTATCGATCGTCCAAAAGTCCCCTACACTGTAGCTACTGTGGGTATTTATAGCCGCCATGCCGGGGACAAGATTCCAGCCGTTCGGCATGTCCTCCACGTAGCCACCACGTGTCATCCTCCCGGGTGCCCTGCCTGTCGATGTAGAGAACCGCCACGTGTCTTTCGTCAGCTCTCTCGCCAAAGGGCTACCACTCGGCAGTCGACACCGTCGCTCGGGCAATTCCCGGTCGGACCCCGACCAGGCTCTTCTCAAGGAGCCCGACCTGTCACCTGCAAAGACAAAGAGAAAAGGACAAAGGCTTCTCGGTCGTGGTGAAGCTACGTCGGTCGGGATATTCCCTACCAAGAGCCCCCCAGCCCGGGCCTTTTTGATCGCCCGGGAAAAAATGGGCCGGGATGAAGAAACCCCACCACCAGCCGCTAACCCGACCGACCAGCTGTCATTCCCTTTTCCGCCACGTGTCGGCCACTGCCGGCCTCTGCGACTGCAACCGTTGCCTCGGAATCAGCGCTGGTCGTGTCGCGCAAGTGGACGACTTTCCCGCCTAAATGTTCTCCTATAAATAGGCCCTTGGGGCCCTCATTTGAACTTTCCTCACTCTTTTGCTTCAATCGGTACCCTCAGAGAGTCCCGAGCAGAGCACCTTCGCAAGGCAATCGAGCAAGGACTTTCAAGCTTTCATCTGCGAAGTTCCCTCATTCGGTAAGTTCTCAACCCTTCTCTTTTCTTTATGCTTCCGTTTTAGGTAGAACTGCTAGGTCGACTAACTGTCCCGGACACTCTAAGTCCTTTACTAACCCCGACCGACCTTTAGGTAGATCGAAATGACGGACTCTGACAGTCAAAACGCATCGATCGCGGATTACGACGAGGAGGTCGAGCACCTCAGCGACGAGGAGGTGGACATCATGTCCTACTCCCCCGAAGTTATCTACAGACCGGCGCCAGCCCCCGAGCGGGCCGCCGAACAGGACACGTCGTCTAGCTCATCCGGGTCATCGAGCTCTAGCTCAAGCGGATCGGGGAGCTCCGGCGAAGAAGAAGGAGAAGAAGGGACCACGTCGGGGAGACAAGGATCTCCGACCGAAGGCGCTAGGGAAACGCCAACCCGGGTGGTTGGGGACCACCCGGAAGCCGTCGCTCGAGGAAGCGACCGGGAAAACACCCCCGAGCAAGCCGGGGAAGACACGGCCGGGCCGGCCGCACCAGCCGCAGCGGAGTTCAAATTCTTGAACAGCGAGAATGTCGAACAACAAATGAGCCGATTGACCACAGGCGAGGCGGCTAGGATTGCTGAAAAGCTCGTAGGTCGGGTGGAATTCGACACGAGCCGGAAGTTAGGGAATGTCATCGACCGGCATCGGGGCAAATGGATCGGGATGCACTACGACTCCCTGATGGCCCCGATCGCCATTCCCTTCACCCCCCTCCTGAACGCCTTCCTGGCCTACTACCGGGTCGTCCCGGCCCAGATCTGCCCCAACGCGCACCGGATCCTCGCCTGCTTTCCGCAGATATGCGCTCGGCACGAAGCCGCCTGTACGATGGAGCTGTTCAACTTCATCTACCAAGTCAAAATTCTCCCGGGCAGCTACAGAGGGGGGTTCTTGATGATATAGTCCCGAGCCGACATGTGCGCGATCAAAGGCTTGCCCGGGAACAACAGGGGGTGGAAGAACATGATTTTCTCCCTCAAATACGACCCCTGGATCCTCCCGGTTGACCGCGCTTGGAGCACCCATTTTCGGAAACAAGTGGTGCCGGTCGCGACGCA